ATCGACCCTAAATATGTCACACTTCACCTTATCTCACGGATTTCCGACTCCGGCGGTAAGGCCATTTGAACAGCAGAGCTAACACTTCCAAAAAATCCTATAAAAAGGCTGTGCGCGACCGGTCTCAAGCAATTGTCCCTCCGGCTCTGTAGTCACCATCCCAGGTCTTCAAGAACAATAATAATCCGACTTCTTTCTCAGGATCCTGTAGAAATACCCTCCAAGATGTGAGCAGCCTGGAAGTGACATCCGACCTTATACCCGTAACAGCACACCAGACTAAGGTAGTCTGAATCGAAACTCCCTATATCTTCTGCTCACCGTTGGATTACTACTTTACGTATAGTATTGAGTTTTACGGTAGAATAGGCTCTCTTACATTCGATCCCAGCAGACAGCCGCTTATGCGCTGCCAGGATGAGGTTAAAGACGAATCTTACCAAAATATTGTCACCTTCTTCATAAGGTTAGGGGCTCTGATGCAGTAATAGTGCCTAGTGACTTCACTGCTCAAGCAGGCTGAATAAAAAAACCTGAAAAACACTGGTAGAACTTACAATGTTGCAACTCACAGAACAGAAAACAGGGAGTGCCCGCTCCAACTCTGCTCAGATAACCGCCCATTTCTAGAAAGTCACAGAAGGAAGTGGCTCGTTCAAAGGCAACATGCCTAGATTCATAACATGCTCTAATGCAAGCGCGTAATCGTCTGAGTCTTACTAGAGCTAGGAAAGATGCTGCAAGGAAACCTCTCTTGGGGTTCTAACTAATGATAACAAAGATAAAAATATATTTCAGGAGCAATTATAAAAACAGTAAGCGAACATGTAAGCCGTCCTCGACCTGAGGTAACTATGAACGATATCCAAAAAGCCGTGAAAACAGCAGCAATATCTGCTAGTAGGGCAAACCATACCGTACTGATAGATGCTCTGAACATGATGAAGAGCAAAGTTAGCTTAGGCGCAGGTTGATGAAAAGCCTACTCAATGATCTCGAACAGTGGTGGGTAGCGAAAGCGAGAGAGGTGGACGCGATAGGCAACAGTAGACAACTATTCAGACATGTAAAGGAAACCGGTATTAGGAATCCAACTACTAGCGAGACTATATCGGTAAAGGATGGGACTATTATCCATTATCAATCCAGGAGATTGGATCGATGGGCAGAACAATTCAACTGGTCTCAAGCCAAACTTTGGTTGCCCACAGTCTTCAGTCAACATGAATGGCGAATCAACGAAAGTCCGCCGAATATTTATGAAGTTGAGAAAGCTGTAAGAAATCTGAAGGCGGGCAGAGCAGCAGGCCTGAAATGTTTGAGGAAGACGGTCAAGTTTTAGCATTAAGATTGACTGAGATCTTAAGCAGAACCCACAAACTCGACGTAGTACAATCAGACTGGTCTCAATCACTGACTGTCACAGTATACAAAAAAGGACAAATGTCCTCTTGTGACAGTCACAGACGAATCAGTTTGACTAATATAGTGTCTAAAATATTAGCTTCAACTATACTCCGACGCCTAACCAGGGCTCGTCAAGAGCAGACTCCATAAAACTAGGCTTGTTTCAGACTTGAACGCGGATGCATAGACCAGATATTCACACTTTGTCAGGTCCTAGAACAAACACACACGTTCAGATGGCCCACAATTGTTGTATTTCTCAAAAACAGGCGGCATTTGACTCTGTCGGTCTTGAGATCCTGTGGCAGTGTTTGTCAGTGAAAGGAGTACCAGAGAATGACATTAACCTTATACAGGCCCTCTACTCGAACAGTGCTGGCTGAGTGAGAGCTTATAGTGAACTGATATCGGAACTGTTTACTTCAGGGTTGTTCACTTTCTCCACTCTTATTAAACTTTGTCATAGCTATGCTGCTGGAAATACCACTGTCCTCGTTTGATTTTTCAGAGATTGAACTTTTACCAGGAGATTCGCTTCTCGACTTAAAATATGCCGATGACATAGTTCTATCTGGTGAAGACACTTATAACATGAGTCTTCAGATCACCTTAAGCAACAATGCAAGCAGGCTCAGGATGAGATTCTCCCCCTCGAAATGCAAAATGTTGTATCAAGATTAGCTTCCATCGGCACCTGACCTAATGATAGGGAGTGAAGCGGTTGCGCATGGCTATCGCTTCACTTATCTGGGGAGTCTCGTCAGTGCTGATGACCTGGTGTGTGACGAAGTCTCAACACGGATACAGAAGGCTCGATTGGCTTTTGCAAACTTGCGTCATTTATGGCGTAGGCGAGATATCCGTCTGCTAACCAAAGGAACAGTCTACTGCGCAGCAGTCCGTTCCGTCCTACTTTACGGCTGTGAAATATGGCCAGTAGGAGTAGAAGATATTTGTAGATTACTGGCTTTCTATAATACCTCATCTATCTTGAAACCATCGAGTCAACAATGCCGTTATTAGAAAACGGGTACCGGGTAGGGATGGAAGATCAGTAGATGAAGTAGTGAAACTTCATCAGTTGAGGTGGTTCGGACATGTGTTACGGATGCCCGAACACCGACTACCTACACGAGCGATGTTTTGTGGTGTAGGGGTGGTAGGCTGGAAGAAAGATAGGGTCAGCCAAACCAAAACATGGCACATATCCATGAAGTCACTGACAAGTAAACTGAGTCATGTTGGTAGGTGTAGACTACCTGATTGGGATCGGTAAGGCAATAGTAACTGATAGTTAGAGACCTTGAATGACATGGCTCAAAATCGTTTCCAACGGCGCAGGTGCATTCCATTATTTGTGTTCTCCCAAATTCTAACATGAACTCCTCATGACCTTCATCTTTCTCATCTCACATATATTTCACTGGATTATACTCCTTGAATAATATCTTCAGACTACGATCTTTCCGATTACTGTTCATAGTTCTACTGCCTCTAACATTGTGGGATTTGAATTGTCATGTGCATCTCTGTGCTACAGTGGTTTGGCGACCAGAATTGATGTACGTACGTACGAAGTTCTGCGTTGTAACTGACTGACTTCAATAACTTCCTATCATTGATAAAATACGTACTCAACAAAGCAATAATACACACTTGTGAATGTTGAATGAACTCTTAGGCTTATGAATGACCATCGAAAAATAGCAGAGTAAATACCTGATGATTTATATTGTTTTTTAAATTTTATAAATTCTTCTATATTGCGAACACTTCACATAATATAAAATGATGCAATATATTACGATTAGAAACAGGTTCAATTCACTTACTAGTGAAGCATAAGTATTTACCCGTGAAAAAAGTCGCCTTATAACTTCAACAAAACACATAATTATCATTGCTAATTTAACCTTTTCGCTATTATTATAACCAAAATAAACCAGTATTGATAGATTAAATCAATATTTTCAGATACATTTAAATAATATAGGGTACTTTGAAGTTAAGATCAGTGAATCGTTTAGACAAGTGATAGGTTATTCATTTTCTATTATTTAAATTGTTACAACTGCCAAAATGATCATTGATTAGTTCGTACATTGAACATTTTCATTCTTGACTAGTTGTTTACTAAATAACACGCAATTCATAGTCAAACAATTCTGCGTGCAAACAAATAAATATAATGTTCCAACATGAATACACATAATCAATAGACTACTACAGGGTTTTATATTTTGAAATCTACTTCATAGACATTTGGTCCTATTATTTTATTCGCTTAGGTTCAATCTAGAGAATCCATTGATCCGTGTGAACAATAATATTTTTTTTTATAAAAAAAGGAAAGATTAATTATTTAATATGAAGAAATATTTCAGTCATTTTGATATATTTGTTCAGTATAATTTTTTTTTATAATTTATACAACAAATATGCTCTTTCACATCATCTATCTAATCATTAAATAGATACAAGATAAATGAGAATATTGTAACTTGATTCAGATGGGTCACATTAATAAAGCGCATTGAAATAAGACAAAATTCGGTGATCATAAAATAAAATATAGTGAACAGAGAGATGATGAGAGAATGCCAGAAATATGCTGATAAAAATTCACCAGAAAAAGAAAAGTTAAAAAAAATGGACATAATTTTGTGTTGATAAACAAAAAAACAAACAAACACCGAAAACAGTATTACAAACCAAAATATACCATTCATACACACCAACAATGCAAGAAATCTATAATTTTTTTTCTCCGGCTCAAAACAACTACTATAAGACAGAGCTTTACATAAATATAAATATATATATTTATATATATATATGTCTACTAAGAAAGTATGAACAAAAATTATTTTAGAAAAAAGAGAATTGAGTAGGATAGACAGCGCCCATTGTCAAAGCAAAAACAATAAACACAAATTAATTGGTAAATATTTCAAAATTATTGCTATTATATATGCATATATATATATATATATATTGTTAACCGAATTCAGTTGATTTTTCAACCCACAAAATAAGGATCATAGAAATAGTATGTGTGCGTTTCCATGCTGAATACACTTGACAATCCATCATTTATCAAAGACAGCGATGCTCGATGGTAATGACATTGTGAAAACGGTGATTAAATGTGTTTTTAAAAGAAAGCATAACCTTTTATAGTAAAATTTTTGTTGTGGAACGATCATCACTGCAACACAGGAAATAGGCAAAAATTAACAGTCAATAAATGAAGAATTTAATGTCTGCTTTTTTTAGAGGTTCGCTATGATTTAAGCGAATGAATCTTAGAATATGATAGAATCGTCTTCTCTCAGCTACAATATGTGTATATGGAACATGTGGGAGAAACGGATTTTTTTTTAATGGGGAAAGTTGTTCAACTGTTGGCAATATATGAATATATATATACGTAATCGATGAAGATACAAAAAACGATATTCGGTGTTTGAAAAAATTTCTACTTTCATTCAATATTTTATGATATAAATACAAGCGATTGTAAAAATTTGTTTCAAAATAGCAAGAAGCCACAGATAAAAAGAATAATGAAAAGAGAAGATGAATCAAATGTTTTACTGTTTAGGTTTCTCGTCGATAAATTCTACATAGTTTGCAGGATAGAAACCAACACGACCATCTTTTCGTCCTTTACACCATCCATTTTCATCAGGTTCATCAAGTTTTTCAAACACATCACCTATAATGAATAAACCATACAGAAAGTAAACAGTTAGCGACCATATAAAAACTTAACAAATCTAATTATCTCGATCACTAACATTCTCACGATTTGAATAGATAACTTACTGGATAACACTATCTGCAAAACTAGTAGAATCTCTGACAGAGCAGTGAACGGATGCCTTATTTTTGTTTTACACTTCTATAGAAATGTTTACTCATTAATAGCATATTAGATCATTGCGAAACTTGTCAATTTGTTATATATGGACACTAACATGCATTATTAGGAGCAACGAGCTAGGATGAAACATATATATATATTTTAGGGTTACCTAGTATTTTATACAATTCTATAGTTACTAGCCCACGAAAAAATAATTCCTGGAAATTCCAAATACATCAGCTATATGTTGAACGCTTGAAGTTCATTACGGAAGACTAGAACTGTTATGGCTAGGCGTCAATTAAGAAAAAACGGATCCAAAGTCTGTGATGAATGGAGAATTAAATTTGACTAGACCATATTTCCTGATATTCATTCTTCTATGCACAAACATATGGATTGTACAGAACATTTAATAGAAAAAAAGAGATAAGAAATTCACAACAAACAGAATCATTAGATATATAAAGAGGTCACCACAAATCGGTAATATTTACACAATAGTACAAATATTAAAAACATGAAGTCTGTTAACAAGTGTACGCAAAACAGTATCTCTTAGTCAGTAATATGATGCTATCTTTTGAAAACATAAAACGGAAATAAGTGTAAATTCTGTTCGCTGAAAAATATATTCAAAGCAATTATATATATATATATATTGACAAACTATTTAACACAACATTGATGTGGATGTAACTTAGCAATCGACAGAAAATGAATTATCTCTTTGTTGATCAAAATTATTCTGGAATGATCAGGCTGGTTCAACAACTCATTCTATTACACTTCAAAGTCAAAGTTTGATCAACAAAGACAAAATGACATGATTTCTCTGTCAAAATTAGTTAACTTTAAAAAGGACCATTTATAGTTGATAGAAACATTCAGTGAATTTTATGAAAATTAATTAAGCAAATAAATCAGTCAATGAAATGAAACATCCAGATCAGTATGAATCTGAAGCAGGAAAGTTTAACTGTTATTCACCTAAACAAACTATGCTGACTATGACTAAACAGAATAAGAAACTATTTGTTATTGTATTAGGAGTATATATATATATATATATATATATATATATATATATATATATATACATATATATAAAGCTTTTATTCATTTACCAAAGATAACGGATTATTTTATCATTAAACATAAACATATAGTCACTAAAATTAACAAACTTTCATAGTTGATTCAGTCATACCTTACTAAAAATGCCATTATTAATTATTCTTGCCAAGTTGTTCTTTCTATTATTTCAACTTAGTTCAATATCATTGCTTAATTGATTAAGTAAAGAACATTACTGAGTCTTATCGACCTGTTTTTAGTTTTTAAACTAACCAGCACAGAATATCACACCTAAGACATTCATTTATTTTGAACTACGTATGTTCTTTATCATGTTAAACATTTATAATAATAACTATTATGATAAATATAATTGGAAAAAAATCAGTTTTTTTAAAAAATCCTGATAAAATAAGTAACTCAAGTCATGAACACTGATACTTCGCCAAAAATACGAAAATAAGAGTAAAAAGTCAACTGAATACAAATGTAACATGAAAGGATAATCGATTTATGAGTTGTATTGCAAAATACAGACACTAAAGAGATTTTAATCAAATGTATAAATATTAAAGTAAATAACTGAGAAAAAACAATAACTGTCCATTAGACAGTAACCAGTGTCATGTTACCTCGTTCTTACTCTCGATCAACCTCAAGGCCATGTACCTACTCTACACCAAAATACGGCAGGTTCGATGTTGAATGGTGGGATACATTTCATAGCAAGTCACACTACCTGCTACTCACGCCATTACGGCATATCTAGGTACTCCACTCGACTGATGTCTAACTGGAGATTGCGGAAAATGTTTAACTATCATGAAAACCTAGGTCCGGAACTTTCAGTGGAAGGAAGGACATAAGTGACATCACAGTAAGCACACGAAGTCATTGAAAGAGAAAGTGGACAAAAGCAATGCTTCTCGTATGCTTGATAATCGAATAAAAGAAAGAAACTATATTAGTGAAAAATATCTGAACAGAAAGCATTAGCATTAACTAAATAAATACTTGTTATGAAATTATAGTGTACAATCACAGTGGTTAAAGTGCTTGTTATTCAACTGGTAAATCGTAAACTCAGCCACTATTTTATGCGACTGGATAGTGTAAATAGCGTACAGTGCGTGTCAAAGCTAAATAGATGAATTTGTTTTTTAAAAGTTGAAGTATATCAACGTAGTTAAGTTTAAACAAAATAACCAATGCAACCATGAACAACAAGAGAGATCATATGACATGTGAAAATATTGTCATCATTATCATTGGAATGATGAGTTTCATGTTCTTATTTTTCCATTGACATTTCTCTATGGAATATTCCATTTTGCTACTTATTCGGGTTATATGAAATGTTTTGGTGATTTACTAAAATTAGTTTATTAACAACAAAATTCAAATTGAAATAGATAATAGTGTTGTTCAACTTTAAAGCCCTGTAAAAATATACATTATAATATGTTAATCAGTGCATTGATTTGCTGTTCAGTAGTCATTGAGATAATTGTAAATTGTAACGTTAGACAAAAAGAAAATACATTTTAAACAGAAGTATGTTAAGTAAATACCTACCAACAGCTAAGGTGATTTCATCCTTCTCTTGTGCTATATATTCATATAGTGCACGAACTTTTACACCTGGCCGGCCATCATCATACATCACATCATTAATGTCTTCAGTATACACAGAATCGTGGCCTTCATCACCAGTAACAGCAGCAGCGGAACTTGAGCTCATAACATGTTCACTGGATTTAATCCCATTTGCAGAAACTTTATCATCAAAAGGATTATTCGTGCTGAAAATGAACGGAGCATAAAAGACGATTGATCAATACAAAATTATATGATGGTTTTGTCACTCATACAGTTTTTATCAGAGTAATTAACTGAAACAGTGTAACCTATAGCTAACTAGTCCCTACCCCACCATCAGAAAAAAACAACCATACACTGCGAGATCAACTCACCTTAGGGCAAATTTATTCTACATTTACAAAAAGAAACAAGTAAACGAAATGGTGTTCGGGTTCTACGGGTTGGTAATGCCTCATTCGGGCACGCCGATTCCCTTTTCTAGAGAAGAATCTGTTTTTTGAGGTACATAAACCTACTGCATGGATGTTATTTGAGAAAACTGGTAACCCTCTGGACCTTGGAACGCGAGCATTACACTGAGACAAGTGCACTCTACATGCATATCACAAACATATGACTTTTCACCGCATACAACTCATGAGATACATATAGGCATACTTGCCCAATAAGTCAGTTATACTTTACATGTACACTGGGAACACACGAGTTTTCGCCCATGCATCTCTTGGTAGGGTACCACAGAGTGTCTCTTCATGAGTTACATGCACATCAGCGGTATGTAAGCTTTCGGACAAGCACTTCATGACTGACATATAAACACAAGTATTCTAAAGGAGAACTAATAGTCACCTCTCCCAGGCACTTTCTATCCATCTATTTTTTAAATCATTCACAAACCTCGTATTTTTGCTGTTTTTGTTTTTTTATTATGAGAGCTCGCTTCTCTGCGATGAAGCAGACTTTCCAGCTTACGTTTTTTGCATATACCTACATATATACATATGTACATATTATTTCATTTCTACAGTTTTCAGTACCTGTTTAATCGTATTATTTAAACAAAGATTGGAATTTAAACTATAAAAATACCAGCGTTTTTCAAAGTTTAGTCTGTAACTTTTCTTTCTGTAAATAGTGTATCTATACTTTCAAACAAAATGATTCCAAAACACGTCATTTTTGCGCTTCAATCTGCAAACATCTGTACTAATTTCACTAAACTGTTATTCTACATGTAAAGTGTCACAACACTAGTGAATGAAACTAGACGCAACCCAACTACGATATGTTTTCACCTGAAATATACATGTACACCTACAAACTTATGAAGGTTTTACTTTAGAATTTATGCTAAATAATTCTTTAGAGTGAGGATAAAATTTTTTAAAGACAATGTTGGAAAAATATAGAAAACACATTAGTTATGAGAAAGAATGTAAAGAGGAATTTGTACATGATATACTTGAACTATAAGCATTTGATTACAAGAAGATTACACACCTCTTGAGACTAATATAAACGAAGTGGTTAATTATTTACTGTTATTGTGTTATCAGGTACAAATATTATTTTGTGTGCTTCATTATTTTCTCATAGCATTCAATCACGTGAATACGCAAGCAAATACAAGCAAAATGTAATTTCATTATGAACACTATTGTTGTCAGTTTTAATCTTAATTATCTCATATAACATAATAAAGAAACAATGCGTAAACACAAAATAAAACTATAAACTAATCCGTAAAGATGTTTAAATGTGAGCATGTAGAGTGTGTGCATTGAAAATCGCTTGCTGCTTTTTCACAACATTAAACCAGAGAATTTATCAAGTAATGAACTTTGATAACAAAGAATATTTACTGAGCAATGATATATAACTTAATAGAAATAAAAATAATAATTGGTTTAAATAAAAATGAGAAATACTACTTCAGGAAAAAAATTGATCCCAATATATTTACATAATACTGAAATCAATTGTAAGTGTACTTTAAAGTTAATAACAATTAAAGCAATTAGTAACAGTAGCGAGATATACACACGATGACAGATTACCTATTGAATAAAAAAAATGCCAAAAGAAGGTAGTCACGCCAATTAAGTTAGGAGATGAATAGATTATTTCCTCTACTTAACAATGAAAATAAAGCTTGAAACCGGAAAATAATACCATACTGCTAAAACAGAATTCGACAGTGTGATATAAGGCAACCCACTAAACAAGCACAAAACATGAGCATTATACTAAAGACTTACACAGAATTTCGACCATTAACTGATGAAACGATATCATTGTTCAATTTTTTATTATGATTATCGTTGTTACTTTCAGAATCATCGCATACATTGGGCTCATAATCAAGTGGATGACTAATCATTGTCACATTAGTTAACGTAACAGAAGCATTAGGATCAGTTAGTGTAAGACGTTTTTTACCTGTAATATATGCAAGGTCTGGTGAATACTCCTGTGGAAAAAAGGAAATAAAACTAAATTACATTTTCTTAAATAAAATGCATGATACACTGCAATAGTTATATTAGAAGAAATGAATAAAACTGAACATAAGATATTCCCATTGTGAAAATTAGAACAACACATATAAGCGAAGAATATTGTTTTCAAATGGATCGTCATCAGGCTCTACTGTAATATACATGAACATTCATATGAAAATGTTAAACTAATCAAGGCATTTATTAGGATTATCTTCACATCCTGTATTTGTTTATAATTTTCTGTCTCTTTCCGTTTATCTGATTATTTACACACTTCTTATTATGTAACGGTTTTAAATATTTTGCGATGACTATTTCAAGTCTATTTATCTACGTTTGATCTACTATTTCCAATGTTGAACTACAGATAAGAACTTATGTTAACGTATTTTATTTTTCTTACTACTATCAGTACACCTGTCTTCCTACTTTCAACTTGTACTTTTGTCTAACATGTGTAGTGACGTAATCGATTCCATTTCATTGTGATTATTGACTCGAATTGCCTTGATTGGTTTAACATATTCATATAAATATTCATGCATATTAGAGTAAAGCCTGATGACGATCTAACTGAAAACAATCTTGTTCGCTTATATGTGTTGTTCTAATCATAAAAGTTTTCACGATATGTTGATCAATCATTTAATGACTAGCTGAACTACTGTTTTAACTCTTTTACTAATTATCTTCATAACTGCATGTCGGTGTGCCAATGTGATGTGATAACTCGGACAAAAGCATCAGTATTTCAAGTTCTGCGTTGATTATCGCTGATTGACTGTAAGAATGGTAGATTTTTATGATAATTCATCTATCAACAACTCTAACATACAGTGAATATCCATGTAGATATCGTGTTGAGAGAATTTATACATAATTTTTCATCATCAAATAATATTCATGGTCTACTTGATATGACAGAAAGAGATCTAAAGTGATAATTGGGTTTTAATTTACTAGATGCCAGCCAAATAACTTACAAGGCCCTTAAAAAACAATCGCTAATTTTAAGTGGACTTAATTTTGTTTTTTTTTCTAATGTTAACTATTTTGCACAGAAGAGAGTTTGTTTATTTACTAGAAAAGAACTACATTCTGCTTACTTTTTGTTTTATCTCGTGACTTGCGTTTTGCATCACTGATTTCAATTGAGTAAGTTAATCATTATCGAGCTAACTTACACAGAAATGGAAACTAATCAACATATAATTACAACCATAATTATACTTTTTACTGCTAGTATACAAATTAAAAAAGGAAACTACACAATCATTGACAAAATTGAATCATCTTATTCTGTAACTAACATAACAGTAACATTAGTCCAGAGAAACGCAGTAATTTGTAATGACTAATAAAACGACTAAAAACCACAATTTCTGAAATCTTGAAAATATATGTCACAATTAAGGAAGTGGAATCACGCGGTCATTGCTAACACATAACGTTAGTGAACTTTTTGAGCATAGAAAAATGAGAGACCTCAATCATTTTAAAGAAAATCTATCTAATTTTCAACAGTCCGGCTTACATTCAATCACTGACTTTTATCAGCTTACATATAATATAACCGTGAAACATGGCACATTAAGAGTCATTTTATAGTAGATTAGCCACACAAGCAATGATTTTATTTATTCTAATCACATACAATTATTATCAGGACTGTGGATTGAAGCTGTACGTCAGAAGTATGCACACTATGTGCACATAAAAGACTATGATACAAATAAACTGAAAAAAAATGCATGAACGGGGTAGTTCTTCACTGACTGGCCACAAGGTAACCCACTCATAAATGATGTACTTCTATTACTGACAAAAAGTTAAGGTTATCTCAATATGTTTAGGAAATACTAAGGTAAATAATCAGCATGCAATATCAAAAGTATGGAGAAAAAACTGAAACAACACCATTCAAAAACAAACAGACAATCTGCATCTCATATTTTCGTTCATAGGATTTAATAAATCTGCTCATCTCATTTTACTTAACATTCAACAACTTAACATCGCAACTGATGATAAAGGATCGGAAGGTGGAAAAAAAGAGAGAATTGGCCAATAAAACTACAACTTGGTAGTGGACTGACACATACACTGTTAAAATTTAGACACGCATTGTGAGCAGAATATTTAAGGTCATTATTACTTTTAGTCAAATGCTGCAATTACTAGCATGGTAACATAGACATATTGTCAAAGGACAGGACAAATCAGATATTTTGACGTGATCAGATGTTCACGTGCTTTAATTTGCGTAACTTTTACGTAAGAAGAATTCCCCAAGAAATCGATTATTGATAGGAAAAGTTTTGTTTTGTCAACTAATAATCTGAGTAGGAAATTTTGAAAGTAAAGAAAGACGCTTACAATTCATAATAAAGGGACCTGAACTTAATCCCCAATTTCAAAGTCCGATAAACTAAAAGTTACGCTTTGAACAACAAAACAACTCAGAATACTAAACAGTATTTTACATTTTCTAACTAATTATTTGACAATGAACTGTAAATGAACCATGATTTCGAAGCTATAGATCCATACATAAAAATAGATAAATTAAGTTGAGAGCACACAAGATAGTATCAGTTGATATCTAGTCAAGATAACAAAATTTGTTAAGTTTACAAACTCCAGTACAGTGACTGAATATATATATATATATATATATATATATATATATATATATATATAGGAGACATTTCACTATAAAAATCTCAAAAGAAAAAAGGAACTTTTGATCTTATTAAATTAAATAAATAGATAAATTGACGAATTAAATACATTGAAGATTAATTCACATAGACTTAAAAAGTAGGATTCCATGTTGAAATAGTTCTTACTTCAAAACGTGGAACAATGAAAGGCATATCGACTCCATGATTTGAAGACCATAACTGTAAGTCTGCTTCAATATTACATTGTGAAATATTCTTTGCTAACTCATCGTAAATAGAATCGTAACTAAAAATATTTTTAAAAGGAAGAAGAAGAAATGATTATATGTTTACAAGTGATTTAATCTAGGACATACGAAAATACAGTTTGGTGGAATAAACAAGCTTAAAAATGATTAAAATCATTAGGATATTTATATATTTATACATATTGGGTTTTCGTAAAACGTCTACACATTCACTAGTACGCCAAAAGAATTCGTATTTATAACTTTATTATGAAGTGTGCTCTTTTGAAAGTATAACGCAAAATGATTCATAGTACAAGCTTACATTAAAGTTATATTTTGTTTCAAAGATTGTAAGAGCCAAGCTGATTTGGGGGCATTTTTAGTAGAGAAAAGACTGAACAGAATCAAAAATCGTTGATTTAAACAACTTCTGGATGATGCTCCGATTGCCCGAAAACAATCCATTTCGTTAAATATGCAACTCCGATAAATAACTTAATTCTAGCTCACAATGCGTACATTAGATTGTTATCATATTTACGCATTCTGTATGAACCTACTTATTTTTTCAAAAATTGTTCTGTATTCTGTAATTATTTTCAGAATATATTGATGATACTGTCATTGCCTCATTATTTTTCTTCGTATACATGTTTTCTATGTTGCTTAAAGTGATTCCCATAGTTTAACCTACATACAAACTTAACTGTATCTAAAATAATTACGTGAACGAGTGTGTCCCTACTAAACGTTGAACAGTATGGAACAATACTCCTATGTAATTCAACAACTTTACACAGAATATTCGTGCCATAGATCTCAGCAACAAGTTCCGAGAATAAAACGCTATGGAGAACAACTGGAAAGGAATTGGGAATTCAAATTTCATACTTTCACGCCGAAAGCACTCCTCATTACCTTTAGTTTGTGTTCCCACTTGGAAAGACCTTAAACCTCATTGCTTAGTTTTCTTTTTTGGTGCGCTATTTCACAACTATTTCCAAGAAGATTTTTGTACTGTATAAATTAAACTTGAATCGAATACTTATTAATTCGTTCGCTCGGGGCAGCTTGTGGGTTATAAAATCTTCTCGCTGGATTCGGACTTCTTGCTCTGGCTAGCTGGGCTGGGTGGTAGAGAACAGCTTAGCTGTTCTGTTGTTGTGTCACTGGTTTATGTTCCATTCACTGATATATAGTTGTATCTTAATGAGCGCAAGCATAGCAGAATGAAAAAGAAATAATTTCAACATGTCAATAGTTTTAAAAAAACATCAGAATAAAAAATGGATCTCTGTAAACACCCTAGACAAGATTCAAGCAGAGAGAAAACGAGAGGATACTAGTCAACAACAGCAAAAAGTTAACAAGCAGAAAGATGTAGAAAAACAGGTAACTACATTAGAACATTGCGAATTCGAAATGATCTAATGCAATACAAATAATCTCAACTTAATTAGAACTTCGCCTGGAGCCCTATAGAGGTTACTGCCGCTACAAAGCTCCGATAAAAGAGGAGGGTTGGGTATGGGGTTAGCGACCTCATACCGTAGAAATTCAACTAGCTAAAAAATGCTACCCAGAAAAAATAACTCGCCGTTCAACGGCCTATGCTCCATTAGGGGTAACGGGAGTAAGTAAGTAAGTAGAACTTCGACAAAACACTAGGAACCACTCGAATTCAAAGCACACAGTATGAACTTGTATTGTATTGTATTGTTAAATCATATTTAAATTCAATATAAAATGTTTAATTGTACTATAAACGTATTTACTGTTCACTACCAACAAGCTGCAAGATGAATAAATATAAACCAAACGATATGATACAACGAATAAGGTTGCACGAAATATATCAGACCAGTCATAAGCAAAGGTAAATCAATCACTGGGGACCAGGAGGATTGAAAGAGGTGGATAGAACAGTTTGAAGGGCTCTTTTTTAGACCGACCCCACTGAAACCACCAGAAAACAAAAAGTCACACAGACCTCTCTATTTATGATACCCCATCAACAACAGAAATCAGCAAAGCCATCAAACGAATCAAAATTAACAGATCATAAGTACCAATTGAAGTACTGAAATGAGATACTGATGTACCGGCAATAATGTTCCATTTTTTGTTCAGAAAAGTTTCGGGAAAACAAGTACAAACAAACTGGACAGAGGGCTATTTTATCAGATACAAAGAAAAGGAGTGCGAGAACTACTACTGTCAGTGCCAGGTAGAGCTTGTAACAGTGTTGATGAAGAGGATGAACGATCCAGAAGACGTTAAACCTCGAGATCAACAAGCTGGTTTTTGCAAGAACAGGTCATATACAAACCAAATTGCGACACCATGGATTACTGTAGAACAACCATTTGAATGAAAATTATCACCATACATTACATTTCTACATTATGAGAAAGCATTCGACGATGTGGCAACAACTTTGTGGAATCTTCTTCGACACTAAGGAGTACTTAAGAAGATCGTTACCACGATACAGAGCTCTTGAGTGTGGCTGATTCGCAAACTCTAGCATTGAGAAATATATCAAAGAGTACTAATGTCGGGCAAGACTACCTACTCCAGCCTTTTCTTTTTCACATGTTTGTCAAATGGATTAGGAAGACTTCCGAATCTCAGGAAGAGCACGGAATATACTGGACAACCTCGATACAGCTAGATTATTTGGATTTCACAGATGACTTATACCTTTTACGCATGCACAGAAACATATCCGGATGAGAAAAACAAACATAACAACGGCTTCTGTAGAAACAGGACTCAATATTCAGAACCAAAAATGACCCTGGGTTACGACACCATGAGCATAAACAAAATCATACTTAATGGAAAGGCTCTAAAAGCTTTTACGCACCTGAGAAGCATCATTGATAAACAACGAGGATCTGCATATATGAAGGCACAAAATGTAAGAGCAAGGGCAAGTCCTTACTTGAAATCCTCGAGCAAAAAGAAATGATGCAGATCAAAGACCATATGGCATCGATAATCAGTTGCAGACATCAAGATGACTAATAGCACTTGATAACAACTAGAGAGGCCAGCCCAGTACAGAATTGGCTGGAGATCGTTGGTCAGTGGCCTATACACAAAGAGGGCTAATAGGCCAAAGCAGGTAAGTACACAGGGGGTCAAGCAGAAGTAGAGGGTTATTTTAGTTATAACACTGGCTTTTCAGGAGACATAGTGTTGGGGATGTTAGATCCCCAGAACCCTACTTTGGTTTGCACAGTCATTTAGTATCCCGAGCTTTTAATGTGCCTAGTCTTGATAAATGAGTTATAATGAAAGGTAAATAACCGAAATATCGAATCACAAATTTGTGAAAAAGTAATCTGAGAGTTAAATATGGTAGGTACTATCACCAATTAAACGTACAGTCAATCATGTAATTATCGAATGTTATCCAATTATATCATGAAAATAGAACTGTTTATCCCACTGTCATTATCCATCGAATTCCGACAATAATAATCAATAAATTTCCAAAATTAAAATTCTATTAGTATCACAGTTCTTAATAAATACACCAAGAAAACTTACTCTACTTTTGCACAAACATTAAGTGCATTATGTAGATTATTAAATGTCGTTTTGAAAAAATCAAGACGTTCTCGTTCAAAATCCTGTGTTCGATTAAATACCTGGAAAAAGAAAGTAAAAGGAATCAAAACTATGAGACGTAAAGTAGAGAAGAGGAATAATATAATCATAGAATAGTAAATCTGATTATGGAAACGAATTCTTGTTCTATTAAGAAATTGGTACAAATATCATTGTTATCACAATTCTTTGGCTCTTACTGTTATTTACGAGAAAACATATTTGAACGTTATTTGTTCAACACAAAAAATGTTGAAACTCGTAACTCTATACAATATTTGATCACTTAGTAATAACGAATGTCGTATTATCTGGTCATCAGCTCACGTAGAACAGTATCAATCAGTTTGTGATTATTATTATTATTATTAACCCAAGTGATTTCACACCATCATGGCTTTGTTTAATGCTGTTGTGATTGGAGACGGTGCTAGTTACCATTCGTAAGATAAAACCAATTAGCAAAATGACTCAAACCTACAAAAATTTAGAAATGGCTCAAACCGCTCATGGATGATGTCTGTGACTTTGGCATGAGTTGACATTGTACGAGAATTTATACTGTTAAAGGTTGAAGATACATCTTGTTAGTAGTAAGTTTCCACGAGCATAAAAACTATGTCAATGTTTTCAATGAATCCTTCTCAACTATCTGACAATAAATTTGTGACAAAATGAATAAAAACATACTGATTAGAATATGGATATCTTAAACTAAGTTAACAATTATAGAAACAAGCAACTATGCAAATGAGCTAGTTTTCGTTATACACATGTAAACACATATAAATTTAGAAATATACATGGTTTCAACACTAATGATTTTTGGCTACAAAGAAACAGGATGAGAAAATGAACATTCATTGTAAGTTTCAAATATTGTCCAATTTTACCTAGTTCGTAAAAAAGTTTTACATTCATTTCAATGTACCACATATGTTTTAGATGTTAGTGATATTTATAAAGTCAAGAAGTTCATTCATGCAATGAATACATACATTAAAAGCATGATATAAATATGAACAAGCTACTAATTTGTTATCACTTCATGTTACATTCGTATGAAGACTAAAGTAAATAGTAACTTAGAAAACTAATCTATGGACTACTGAAGCATACAATCTAAGTGTATAACTATTAATTAACTAGACTAGCAGGTATATATATATATATATATATATATATATATATATATATATATTTCTTTTATTAGAAGCTTTCTATTAACCCACAAAATATTATCATCTGAGTTACTGTTCTTAATATGTCAACAGTTTACAATCTTCAATACTCACAACAACTTTTGGCTCACTTGTTAATTTCTACTAATTGATACGGTATGGTCTGGGTTTGTGTGCATATAAACGAGTGTCTGAATATAGTAACGGAACTTCGACTTGTGGTTGTTGTTCTTGGTTCTTACTCTTTGGTTGTACAAGTTAGTACTTGGTCGTCTTTCAAGCACATATTTGCAAGTCATCTCGTCTTTGTTGAGGGTTAGTCACTCAAGATCATCTGCGTACTGGCTAGTGTAAAGCCACAACACTTCATATTATAGAAATACTGAGTAGTAACTAGAAACCTATTTAAACTGTAACCAAATATTTATCAGTGATGTGTGGAAATGGATTTCCCCAAAGCTTTTAGTATACTTAATAGATTAACTTGTCAATCAGGTACAAATTAATCTACTTAACTTTGATCCACATTACATATGTGAGGGTTGGTGATACTAGTTACCCAAACGGAAGAATGTGGAGAGGGGTTCAAGGTTAAGACTTACCGGTTGAAAGTTAAACACTGTATACTGAGAGGCAGTTTCAATAAAGTAGTAAACAATGAGATACTGTGTGACACATTGAATCGATCAGATTAGGAGAAAGCTAGTAACCTATTAATCCCATTACAGATGAATTCAGACAAGCCTTAAAATAAGGAATATTGAAAATGTAGACCTTTGGAATCCGATCTATTTGGTCTACAGCTATCACGGTTGTTACGAGATTTTAAGATCCTGGGTTCATTTAAGTGCAAGTGGTTGTGGGTGCACATTACTTAGCAGTCCCAAATTAGAATGAAACCAGTGCTACTTACTAGTATTTACACCTGGTTCCCCTCAAGTAGTATAGGCCGCCAACCAGGATTTCCCAAACAACTCTGTCCTGGGCTCTCCTTTCCGGTTGTTCCTAAGCGCCATTCAAAAGAATGGATAGCGCTTAAGAAGGAAACCAGAATGATAGTTATCCCATTCTTCATACTTTAAAGTAATAAGGAGTCCATAAACCATATAGTTAATGTCTATAGTTAAGTTGAAGTTGCAACTTTCGTGTATTATTAATAAATCAATTATACTAGATATATTTTTACAATGTTCGCCATAGTATATTATTTCTTTTTCTATTATTGTGTATTATGGTTAGTCTGGGTCATTAAAAAAACAATCAAATGTAAAAAAAATGCGACATTACATTTTTGAACTTTTATTATAGCACAAATAAAAACATTGTGTTACGTAACAAAAGAGTAGATGACAAAGCAATTTGCGAATTAGTATAATTTATTTATCACAGGAATAGACTTTGTAGACAAAAGGATAACAAAAATTAAGTTAGCTAACAGAATTTCAGATAGTTTGAAATATTAAAACTGAAAGAAAATTGTTAGTATCGCTTGTGTTTATCCAAAAACCCTATGGCATCTTTATTTGGTCCTGCAGGCGTTAGTGTCCCATTACGCGAAAGAGCTGAAAGGCGCTTATCGATTAGATCCCCATTAACAGTTGATTATTTGCAGTTAGATTAGAAAGTTCTATCAAAATGAGGAAATCGGTGTGAGAAATGATGCTTTTTCGTCATCTCTGCCTACGCTCCGACAGATTGTAGCCAGAACAAGATATACAGTAAGTTCTATCACCAGTTAAGTTATCTCTAGTACTAATCGGAAACTTGGATACACTGCTCGGGTGTCTACGCATAAGGAGTAGTATGGATGGTCAATGGGGAATTTTTGAGTCGCAGATCAGCGGAGATTGTTACTGAAAGTTTTCATGTACTCATACCTGTTTCCGGTACAAAATCAAATCAAATCAATAGCAACGTATAACTTCATACGTAAGTACATCAGTTCATGCTACCATACCACATTAGCACAGAGATGTAATTGTCAATTCAAATCCAATAGTAGTAGAGGTAGTAAAGGTATTAGCAGTAGTCGGAGAGGTTAGGGTTAGAAGATACTATTCAAGAAGTAGAATTCAGTGAAATAGACATAAACAGATAAGGATAAAGGGATGAAGAATTAAAAAGTTTAGGGTTTGAGAGAACACAAAGAATGAATGCACCTGCGCCATTGCAAACGATTTTGAGCCATGTCATTCAAGGTCTCTAACCATCGATTATTATCATCTCGCGGACCCCAACCAGGTAGTCGACAATTACCAACATGACTAAGTCCACTTGTCAATGACTTCATGGATTTCTGCTATGTTTTGGTTTGACAGCCCCTAACTTTCTGCCAACCTACTCCTACACTACATAACAAAGCTCGTCGAGGCAGTCGGTGGTTAGGCATTCGCAGCACAAGTCCCAACCACCTCAACTGATGAAGTCCAATATTTCATCTACTGATCTGCCATTCTTAACTAGCACCCGATTCCTAGCACTTATGATCGAAAACAAGTAACTTATGGAAATCTACTCTCACAGGCCATGTTACACAGCCACAAAGTAAGACGGAGCGAACTACTGCGCAGTACACTAGCCCTTTAGTCAGCAAACGGATACCTCGCCTACGTCATAGGTGACGCAGGTTGGCAAAAGCCAATCGAGCCTTCTGTATCCGAGCTGAGATTTCGTCAGTCACCAGGCTATCAGCACTGATGACACTCCCCAGATAAATGAAGCGGTCTACAAGTTCGACTATTTCACTTCCTATCACTAGTTCAGGTGCCGATGCAACCCAATCTTGAAGCAACATTTTGCATTTCGATGGTGAGAACCGCATCCCGAACATGCTTGCATTGTTGCTTAGGGTAGTCAGAAGACTCTGCATTTTGTCAGAGTCTTCACCAAATAGAACTATGTAATTGGCATATTCCAAGTCCATAAGAGAGCTTCCTGGTAGAAAATCCACTCCTGAAAATTCGGACGAAGATAATGTTATATCTAGAAGCAGGTCTCTGACAAAATTAAGCAGGAATGGAGAGAGTGGACATCCCTGACGGACACAACTTGAAGTGAAGAAATGCAATGACATTTCGCCGTAAGCTCTAACTCGACAAGTGGTTTTCGAGTACAGAGCTTGTATACGGTTAATGTACTTCTTTGGTACGTCTTTTAATGACAGACACTGCCACAGAACTTCAATCAGTCAGTTACAACGTAGAACTTCGTACGTAAGTACATCAGTTCAGGTTGCCATACCGCATTAGCACAGAGACGCAACTGTCAGTTTAAATCCTATAGTGGTGGTAGTAGAATTAGCGGTGATGGAGAGTATGAGAGATAGAGGATATTATTCACGACCAACAGAGTCAAATGCCGCCTTAAGGTCCAGGAAGATAACTATCGTTGGACGCCTAAATGTGTGTCTGTGTTCCAAAACTTGTCGTAGTGTGAAGATGTGGTCTATACAGTCACGTCCAGGTATGAAACGAGCCTGGTTTACTCTAGTTTGCTCTTCATGAGATCTAGTTAGGCGTCTAAGGATAATTGAGGCTAATAATTTAGAAACTATATTAGTTAGACTTATTCACCTTGGTTGTCACAAGAATACTTTTTCCCTTTCTTATATATTGGGAAAATCAGGGATTGAGACCAGTCAGATAGTAGTATTACGCCCAGTTTCCAAATTCTACCTAAGATCTCAGGCGTAAGTCTATCAGGATCCGTTGCTCTCCCTTGCTTCAGATTTCCTATAGCTTTCTCAGCTTCATGTAGACTAGGTGGACCTATGTCGGTTTCCCATTCAGGATGACTGGAGATCGTGGGCAACCGAAGTGTGGCTGAAGGCCAGTTGAACTGGCCCCTAAAGTGTTCTGCCCATCGATCCAATCTTCTGGATTGAGAATGGATGATACATCCATCTTTTTCCGAGATTGTTTCACTCACGTTCCGGTTCCTAATACCGGTTTCCCTGATAAGTCTGAATAGTTGCTTACTGTTGCACATCGCCGTTGTTTTTTCCATCTCCCTTTCTTTCGCTATCCACAACTGTTCTCGATCATTGCGAAGGCTTTTTATCAGCATGCGCCTGATCTGACTCCGCTCCTCATCGTACTCAGAGACAGGAGGGATGAGCTTTCGAGCATCCATCAGTTCCGTAGATGCTACTGAAATCGACGGCTTCTCCCTAACCTTTTCGTTCACCTTACTAGAAGATATCACTGCCGTTTCCAAAGCCTTTTTGAAATCGTTCCAAGCTGCCTCAGGGTGGGCATCACTTACTACATGGTTGCTTAACTGTTTTTCTAGTTGTTCCTGCAATATATTCTTAGCTTTATCATCATTAATAATAGCCCTAAGAGGTTACCTTGCGTCCAGTAAGGCTCAAACAAATACGCACTAGAGCATGGTCTGAGCCTAAACAAGTGCTCCAGAATGAGCGGCAGTCTTCAACAGAGCCTTTTCACCGATGGCTTATAGCGATGTGATCTAGTTGGGTTCATCGTTGGGTCGGATTTGGGGGTCGCCAGATCAAAAAGTGTTTTACCTTATGCTTAAAGTTAGTGTTTGCTAGGAATAGGCGGTTATCTGAGCATAGCTACAGCAGACGGTTGCCATTATCTGTTCGATTAGCCGCGACACCATAAGATCAACCCAGTTTTATTTCTTTTTCGCTGAGTCTACCTACTTGAGCATTGAAGTCACCAGTCATTATTACTATATCAGAGCGCTTAACATTTTGGAGAAGTTAAGAGAGGTTTCCATAAAACTTATCTTTCATGTCGTCTGAACTGCAGTCAGTGGGAGCGTAGGCAGATACGACGAAGAGGCAACGGTGAGTGTCCCTATTTTTTCGAGTCCGTACTGTCCAGTTTAGTCGGACAGCGTACAAGCGACTGTCTATCGGGATCCAATCTAAGAGAGCTTGTTCTGCCCTAGGACTTAATATTATAACTATGCCGGCGAGGCCGCGAGAAGCGGCATCAGGGCTTCCAGAAAAACGAAGCATAAACTTTGTTGTGTCTGTGTTTGCACCAGGTGAGACCGAATTGATGATTTCACTCGGGTTTTGTATGCGCGTTCCAAAGACGCAACATACATCGATCGCCCGGGATTCCAGAGTTCTAGCTAATGAAGCCTGTTGCCCTATTTGGCATAGGGTCCAAACAATAAAAACTCCAATATGTAATTAAGTACTGGGTTTCAAGAGACCAGGAATAATGTTTCGAGAGCTTGTACCGTTTGCTTCAGTGGCAGAGGATGATAAACGAGGTGTAGAAAGGATTTGATTGTGACCAATTCTGTCTCGTGTGCTTTCATGGGTATGAGGGCGGATGTTACTGCCCGGCTGCCCACACCGTGGAAGTTTTTCTTGAGTAACCTGAAAACGAAAATAGATTAGCGTTGGTCTTGACGGCCTGAGAGCGTGATCGCAGAGTCCAAGGGACAACTGCTAGAGGCCGGTCACGCACGTCCTTTTTATTAAAGGTTTTTTGAGTATTAGCTCCGCTCTTAAAAGCCCTTAATGGGCACCCTTACCGCCTGAGACGGAAATCTGTGAGGTAGGGTGAGGTGTGACATTTTTAGGGTCGACCTTTTTTTCTAACCCCTTCCTTCCTTGTGAGAAGGCAGCATCGCTGCAGATGCTGGCTGTCCGAGGGAAACACCTTACTGCTGTCACACCCCTCTGCAGTACAACTTCGCCCAGAGACCTTGAGTAACTGCTTTTAATCTCATCGTTCTCCAATCGATCTGCCTGGCATGGTAGAACCTTCAGGAACATATGTTCCAGACAATATAGCCCGGTTGGGTCATCACGATAGGCGAGCCCAACCACCACGTCAAGGTAGCAGCTACGGTCGGGGCTAACATCTATCGGTTTATAAGCCCTATAAAACCCTTTTCATAAAATTTTTACGGGGAACTTCTATTCACTGTAGTAATTTTGAATGCACAATGTATAGGTAGAATAATCAATCTTTCGCCCAAGTACTGATCGATTTTTTTCTTGTCCACAGATGAGATATAGTGCACTATTGGATAGTGCATTTGTAGTGTTTATATATATATATATATATATATATATATATATATATATATATATATATGTCAACACCAATTTAGGTGATTCATAGCATAGGATGTCTGCATACTTTTGAAAATTATCTAGAACATGAAGGTATACAAAATATGCCTTTATGCACAAACCTTTAAGCAGTTAGTTGCATAGTTATCATTTGACAACTACCATGATAACATAAATTATAAAAAAATAAACGATCAGTGTATGTACCAAACAGCTTAAAAGGCGACAAAAAATTACAAACTAATTCCAATATGTGATAAAATAGTAACACTATTTACACAACATAAACGGAATAAGATACGTCACAGAGAACGTATACCTGAAAAAAAATTCTAGGCACAGTGTCATAGCGGACCACACATAGCTTACAAAGGTTATGTCATATACTACACAGATGTAGTTTATTAGTTAAGAAGCACAATTCTTACCAAATGAATGTTAACGTTTAGAATCACGGTGCCTATCTACACAGTTCGATATAGACAACAGACGAAATTCACAACTTAGTCAGTAATTCTGTACGTAGTGCAGCAGATATTATTGTTTGAAGGAATGGCGTTGACCCACTGAATGACAAATTTGGCAATCAGGATCAATCAATTCTGCAAAGCAGCATAACTGTGATTATCGAATAGTCATCATTTGACGTTAAGATGTCACCAATTGCTGTTAGAAGGAGCATCTTTAATGTGTGAACATTTCCAAGTTCACAGTCCAGTGAAAAAAATCAAGCGATTTTAAAAGAACACATAACACCCTATTTTCAACATCTTAATACCAACTTTTATTGCCACTTATCATGGATATAATATTTTCTGATTTGTAACAAATAAAATTTTTGGTATAACATGGTAATGAAAGAATGGGTTATACAAAATTGAATGATAATATTGTGAAGAAATGAAACCGTGGCAGGTAATTTCCCTAGGTGGCCATCTCTTAAGCTTTTGATACAAATGCCTCAATTAGAAAACAGTGGGGCGCGATCATATTTAACACCACAGTAACCAGTAACTATTAGAGTAGGTCAAGAATTAGGGTTTTTTTTACTAATTTAGGTGTACCTTACACACCCATCACTCCAGTATCTCTGAGCAATAGACAATCCAAAAATTAAAATTTATTTCAAGATAGATATATAATAACAGAATAAGCGTTTAAAAAATGTGAGACGATGAACCGACTAAATACAATAAAATACGATTAAAACAACTCATCCACAAGTAATTAAACATTAGTCAACATGGAAACAGTAATAAAACACTTATGTTGTTTATTTATAATAATTTAGATTCTATAATTAAAATCAGAAAAAAAGAAAGATGATTGAATATAAAAAAAATACTCACTTTAGTCATTTCTTCAACATATCGTGCACTTTCATTATCCAAATCAGCCAACGCCATTGTATACGCATTACGAAATCGTTGAACATCTTTTTCTGTTTTAGCTAATTTTTCTTGTGCTTTCTTAAGCTATTAAAATATCAAAAGAAATCAGTCAATTAAAGTCAATTTTACTAAAAAATTAAATATTATCAACAGATTCATAAATTTAGAATTCTGAGCGAACGGTATTGTGAATAATTTTCCCGGTGAATTGTTGAAAAATAAATAAATACTTGTTTCTGTTCAATTATTTAGTGGTAACAGCCTTCCCAATAATATTTTGAGAATAGAAAAATCGATAACTCACGGAGGATATTTATTTGCAGGATTGATAACATTGATGTCAGACACAAAGAACTCAGAGTACAATATATCAAACTGGAACTAATGCTTTCAAATACACTGATTAATAACGAACATGAATGCATGAAAACTATCGCTAATTCAGTGTCATATTTCAGGAGTAATGGTAATTAAGAAGAGCATTAAATCAGGCAAATGAAAATAGACTTTAGAATATGAATACGAAACAAAATAGAATAGTGATGTCACACGTTTTGAAACTATATGATAACCGTTATAATAAAACAAATCAATCGATGACCAACACCACAAATCACACACACATTTAATTTAAAAATCGAATTACAAAACAATTTATAGTTGTTTAAAGAAAATAATAATTAATAAAATAACCAGTTCTTTGAACCAAATACATTGGATTATCTTAGTTTATTTTTTACCATAATTTGGTAATGATGTCAACACACTTGAATACATAAGTAAATTAAACGTGATTAGAGTTCCCATGATGTACAATAAAATGTCCGTAAACGTTTGCGAATAATAACACAGTGGTTAAAATAAAGTTTAATATCCAGAGCTCATAGCAATTATTTGGTAGACAACTCTCAATGATTATCATTGGTAAAGACCTGCATGCGGATTAAATCTGAAAACATGAAATTTCGTCAATAAAAAAGGAACTGTCACTTTTTTTTCCCGTAGGCTTTCAAAAATTGGTGTTGCAGTGGTTAGTTAACAATTTTATCGGTAAATATTAGTAACCATAATGTAATTAACATGTTCTAATTTATACGCAACGGTTCAATAAACGCCTTTCTACCAATCCTGACAGAACTAAAAAGAGCTTGCATATACTAAATATTTATATATATTGTAAGAAATCTGGAAGCCAACATACATATAAATGTTAGGCTGTAAAATAATACGAGTATGATCAGTTCAGAAGTCAATAGTGTGGTGAAAGACGTTACTCATACCACTGTAGTAACGTTCTGAGGTAAAAAAAAAATACCCAATCTCAACCTATTTCCGTTGGATTTTATTGCATTCCGTCCTATTAAAAAGTTTCTAAAGATGAACTACAAAGAGCTTTAACAGTCACTTCAACAAATAGTGCCCTTATGATTCGTCAATAACTGCTGGCTGATTGCTGAACACTGTCATTCCTGAAAAACTGTAGTTATCACATTTTCAACAATAGTACTAATCTAGTTAAAAAATAAATCACATGAAAGTAATAGCTGGGACTATGTATACTATCCCGACATGAATCACAAAATTAAGCAGCCAGTTTGTTTCAAACATAAAATTACGACTGTAGTCAACAGCACCAGGGTAAACAGAATCCCAATTCTGGCTCATGTTAAAGTTGCTGCGGTAATGTGAAGGTATGAGTGTTGGTGGGTTCCATTATGGTTCGCTTCAGATGATCAACCGTTTTATCATCAATCCTTACAATATATATATATATATATATATATATAAAGTGCACCTCCTGCACAGAAAATCCACACGTACTTGAATAAGGGGGAAATTTAGTACCTAACCATACACAAACCATAGTATTCGTTATATTTAACTAAACAACTTTATTTCATATTTAATATTTGTTTTGTCGAAAGCAAGGAACAGGAAAAGGCATGAAAAGCATGGCAATATCATCAATGACTAATCATTATATATGCAGTTTGCTTTGCGGAAAGAGATTAACATTGGAAGCATATGAGATATGCATGCATTGGTAATAAAAAAAACTAAATATGCAGATACAAAATATTAACAAACGAACAAGCAGAAAAAATTTACTGGTTTAAATCGTACGAAGCATACGATGAGACCTGAAAAATATGTTAATGATTGAAATAAGCATTTACTAACTGTGAAACGTTCTACATTTTCTAATTGTTTGATCTGTTTACTTGATTGGTTTGACAACCAAAAGCTACATATAAACTATAAATTAATATTTTACCCAAACAGCAAGTTTTTAAATCCCACCCACTAAAAATAATGAGTGGTTACCACAATTAACTAAAACTTACATTGAAACTAAAAAGCATCAGAAAAATACATCGCCATGACCAAGCTACTAAACTATTATAATGAAAATGTCAATCTGTTTAGAACATAGGTTATTTCCAGGAATAGAGTACTTGGTAAGGACGGGAAATTAACGGATGCTGCCGAATCTATTGACTTTTCCTAACTTTTTTGTTTAATCTACTAGTGGATATCACTGCTGTTTCCAAAGCTTTTCGGATACCGTTGCAAACTTCGCAGTGGTGTTTTGCAATAACACAAGATACGAATGTAAACTAATGAAGTTTGAAATCAATAGTCTAAAGGTATCATGTTAGCCGTAAAACCTAAGATCACGGGTTCTATTGAGTGTATGTGGCATATTAAGTGTTAATAAGAATACCCTACTAGCGAATTATTTTATGAAACCAATAGATTAACTTTTACATGGAATTTCATAAGTCTGTTGGCCATTTATAACTCAAGATGAAATAAATATGGAATAGGATGTCACCTATAAACGACTGATTTAACTAATAATTCAATATTAACATTTATATTCTGTAGGTATCTTTGTCTTGTAATGCGAAAGAGTTTAAGCAGTGAAATTTTTGAATACTTGTATAGAATAATTGAATTAAATTCATTTATAAAATCATCAATTAAAATAATTAATAAACAGAAATAAATCCAAAAATGAACAGTAACCAATTTTCAAGGCAGAAGTAGAAAAACCGCACATGTAGACAAAGTAAACAGATACGAATGGCAGCAAAAAGGAAAGTTACGATACTTTAAAAAACACATCAATAGCTAACTCACTTTTTTATCTTCCTACCAACATATTAAAAATAAATAAAACCCACTACAACAGTTCTCTCAAGGATTACTTTTTGGTTATATAATAAAAAACAGAATGATATAATAGATATTAAGTTGTCACACCTACTATTCAATTAGGCATTAAATGAAGGATAGAATACATTGAGAAATATAATATTAAAAAATGAATAGACAGGCAATAAAGAAAGTATTCATGTTGGATAAACAAGTTTATCGCATGTTACTATATTGTTATATTACACCTTTTTTAACTGAATGATCAAGTTAAGGAGCCAATATTCTAGGCACTGCTATCAATACATAGTTTAAATATAATTAAGAATTTAATAATTCAAAAAGAATCCATTCAGAGAATACATAGCAATTCGGTGGCATAATTCTTGAAACTAAAGTCATCTAAAAACAAATTTGTTATTTACACATGACTATTAAATATGGAGGGGGAATGCAGAATATTTTTATAAAATTAGAAAAGTTAGTGATTTTCAGAAGTAATCGAAAAAGATTGATGATAGTTCTTTTTAAAGATTTCCTAGTTAATAGTTAACTCTCTTGTAATTAAATCGACGGAACCTATAAAACGTTCGATTGATGAACTTCTTAAATGCCATGTCAGTGACCTTACAGGTTGTTAGAAAATAATGGTTGGCTAAAGAGCAATATCTGCAATCTTGATTCAAAAACTGTTATTATGAATAAATTTGAGATCCTTTTGTTTGATAGGTTAGGAAACTAATTATCCCTCAAACCGGTGTTGATGTATGCTGCACTGTCTTCAAGATACTGGATGAGAGCACTAAAATATTGTAGGTAATTAAATTTGTGCAGCTCACGGGATGAAATAAATCATGGACAACAATTCTTGAACCAATTTTTTGGAGGAAAAATATTTTTATCATTACTATATGCATGCATTTTGGTGATCTTGCTTGTCTTTGGTTGTCTTCAGAAGCTTTTCGTGTGGCTTTTCATCCGTACTACCATTTGATTACGAGACTAATTGATTAGGCGTTTAATTTTTAACTTATATTCATGATACGTAGGTATGAAAGAATTCCAGATTGTCTTATGTATTTTTTTTGAAGTCGCTTCAATTACTCCTGTAAATGATACAAGACTTCTTGCGTTAGCTTGCGATTTAAACGCATAGTAGGAAGTGAGATGATTGTGCTTATTTTTGAACGAAACTAATCCCAAAAGATTTCAAAATCCCAGCAGTTATTGTCAAGATTTTGCTTACATGCAACGAAAAAGAATGATTTTCTGATCTTCAAGGGTAACTTTAGGAATTTTTCTCGAACAAACGTAGTTAAGCTTACATTTTTTTGAAGCAACTACACTAGCACTTAATTTACGAATCGATATGGTTCTTCGTCACGTTTGGTTATAACTTCAGTATGTTTAAAAGGTACAGGAATGCTCAAATGATACAAGTTGAGACTACTTGGTAACAGCAATAAGAAACGTAAAACCAGTGAAAAATCAAGAACGAATATTAAGAACTATTAACAACCAAGTAGTTATTCTCCCTAATTTGTATCTTGATTGTTGACGGTAACCTTATCAGTTAAACGAAAATAGCTGAAATAATTGACAAGATTAAAAATGTCTAACAAGTGATAGATAAGACAATATCATAATATACCTTCGGAATATCTGGAAACCAATTATATGGAGTATACCTATCTTTGTTACTTCAATAGCGACAAACATTACTGAGTAAAATACACCTGTCTTCAAATTATTAGTTGGAAATTTTCAACCATAAGGTATTTTTGCTTTAAACATTTGCACTACTTAGACTCACACTTTATTATATTGATAATCGTCATTTAAAAAACTTTACTACTAAGCTATATTATTCAGTTTCATACTGTGCGTCAATCAACTACAAACTGATGAGCAAAATCAGCGTAGGACAGTTAGTCCAATAATAAAAGAATTAAACTATTAGTCATTAATTCACAAAATCTAACCTTGTTTTACTCAAAACGGTTTTGATTAACTATTAATCCTACTGGTCATGAGAAAATGTTTCTCATACTTCACCATAGGAATCTAAATCAAATTACCTCATCTCTTTAGTATGATTAAAATAAAACTAAGAAACTGCTGAAAGAAGATAAAGTTGGATACATAAAGCAGGAAAAATGTGAAGAATAAACAAGCATAGTTGGCTTAAAGGCTTACCTGTTCAACAGTACCACTTGGGTCGCTCTTAGCATTTTGAACCTGAACTTGAAGTGAACGTTCTGTTTTGCAAGCTTGATAATACTCCTTTTTAGTAGTGTGGACTTTTTTCAAACGTTTAGACCATTGTTTTTGTGCCATTTCAAAATCTTGTTCGAATTGTTTTGTTTCTTTCAACGTTTGCGGAGGCAATGAACTTTTGTGAAAGCGTTCTTTTTGCCACTGCTTAACTCCAGTTTGAATTTCGTCTATCAGAATGTTGCGTACACTCTTTAAAGATAAGAGCAAAAGGATCTTAATAGGTAAAGGCCAGCAAATGTAAGGACATATGAAGATATTTTTCTTGGGATCATCCTAGAAGATATGACGCAACCTCATGAGTAAAAATGAGTTCAGGGACTGAACCACTCCTTTCATCTAAATCGGGTGTTACAAATGGCCTTATAGTATCATATTTTATGTCCTCCAAATGACCCGAAACGGTCAAGTGAGGAGAGTTTACCCTCCGTCCCCATAAGCTCTCCCATGGGCGCCATTGCTAGGGGCGTCCTACTCACTTCACTTACAGATGTTTACGAAATTGAGAGGATGAAAAGCGAACTACCGGCACTTAAACCAGGTTGGTGGGCACGGATAATCTACCTAGGAGATGAAAAACCCTGATTCCAAACCTATAGTGAACATGAGCTTCAGGATACTGAAGGAACAAATGGATCATGAACCTGTTTCCGGTCACCGGTTAGCATGAGACATTGGTACACTAACTTGTAGATTAGGCAACTAAGTCAGAGGCATGGAAAGTGGATCCCCAAGAAAACCACCTGTTTTGGTTTCGGTATCCAGACAGCACCTCAGCTTACATATAAATTCAATTTATGTGGCAAATATATTTATTGAGGCCCCTTCGCACCAACGTTAGTGTATGAATGTAATGAATAAATATTTCCCCCACTAGTTTGTCACTGACTTAATTTTGTGTATTCTGACTGACTATTATTTCTCGCTTTAACTTAATAGTGGTTACTTGTGTCTGTAATAAATACTCCTCGGTTATACAATGTTAGGTTTCTTTGCAGGAGTATCCAAAGGTGTTTTTCGGATATGTATTAGTTACCAATTATTTCGAATAAAAACACTCCCCATAAATTCTTGACGCATAAACGGGTTAACGTTACAAAGCACTCACTCGGTTTATAGATTTACAAGCTATTCTCAAAGATGTTAGTAATAGTTATAAGTTTACTTGTACTGAAACTGAAAACTACTAAAAAATTTGGACACTGCTATCTGTAACTAATATGAAGGGAAAGACCGAACTTAGGAATTTAGTATAAGGTACGTCATTCTATAACAATAAACCGATTTTCATCTTAAATACCTGGAGCTTTATGTGGATTGTATAATGAATGTATATATCTAGACTCTCAAAAAGATATGCGACTACAAATATTAAGTTCTGCGACAGATTTAGGTTTCAAGATAAAAGCGTAACCATATAATGAATACCAGATTCCATAAACATACTTATCTAAAGCAAAGGGTGAAATTATTTAGGTTTTCTGATAATTCGCAAGGGGCAGGTGCATAGTACAGTAATCTTTTGACAACGAACTCTAACGGCTTCCACATAGGACAAGCAAACTAAATCCACCTAAACGAAAAATGATACGAGTAATGTAACAGAGCTGCCTAGGGAATTAAAATGATTTGTGTACAGCCTTTCCTCGGATGAAAAAAATGAAGTAATACACAGTCCAAATTTACAACTAATTATTACATGGATCACAATTTTCAGATACTTGGGTTTAAAAAATAGTGAGGCCAACCGTTACTGATTCTTCTGGAAAGCGTGAGTCTGGAGCATGAGTATTACTTACTAGCTACCTACTGAATTTTTTTCAATTAAGCCAATAAAAAACTGATTTCTCATCACAGCTTTCTTTTTTTAAATTAATTCTTAATATAAGATTACAAGCAAAAAATGAAAACACTGATAATATAGGCTGAGGTTACTATTTATCCCTAACTAGCGACATGCAAATAGTCGCAATTAACATGGTTAACAATGGTTCGAAAAAGAACATCAGCAAAGTACTAAGAGATAATGGTAGCGACGGGGATGACAAAGTTCATTCGTCGCAAGGATTCCGTCTCGGCTACAAAGAGTAGCGGTATGACCTAACACTAAATCCTTTAGTACACTGAGATTTGAGAATTTTGAAGAGGATTGCGAAAATTTGATTACTGTGAGAGATCTTACCTGATGGACATTTGATATAGCTTCTGCTTCCTTGCATAATCCTTTCCAAGGAGAGGATCCGGAACCATACTCAAGACCGGAATCAAGGAAACTAAGCCAACGAGAAGACCACTTCTTAAGGTTGGATGAATAGGCCTTCTCTAATTCTGCTCGTTCCTGTATCATAAGACATAATTCATTACACAGTTTGTTTGCAGCATCCACTCGTTTAACTGTTCGATGATATTCTCTGCACTCCCAAAATGACGCATTGGAAGAGTTTTGATCGTCGTTATCACCATTGCCGATCATTACTCAAAAAACAAAACAAGTTGACGGAGAATTTTCTATCTGCGCGCTAATTATATTAAGTCGTAAATTCGTTAAGACAAAGCGAAATTGTACGTTCGGATCTGAAATATATGCCAACACTTTATTCATAAATAATCACTTTTGCTCCGTTCAACTAAGTATTTTGGATCTAGCAGTCCAGTTAACAATCTCTAATGAGCATAGAAAAAAATTATTTGATAGACTTTCAAATCTATCAAATCATCGATTTCTGCAGTTGCAGACCTAGATCTATGAAATCAAGAAGAATAAATAAATTTTGTGGTAAATCAACGTAGAGCGTTATTATGAGCTTGCAAGGAATAATTGAGTTGGTACCAGTATACGAACCTTCCAAGAAAAAAATTCTTAATCATTGGTGCTGACCTTATGAGTTTTACCGGATACATTCCATTTCAAGGCGCCCTCTCGCGTACTTACTCCAGATGACCGCTAGGCATGCCGTGCGACGTATCTCACCACATCAGTTGGTAAGCTTAGTTTACCACTCCTCAACATCCCAACCACCATTCAAAAAGATCTTCAGTCATTGTCTATTCTGACTTCCGGTTTGACTTGATTTTAGATAATCTCGGTCGAGGAGGTACTACAAATAAAAGCGTTGTTTAACTGTGAATATCCGTGATATCCTCATGGGTGAGCCGGACGCAATTGGGTACGCTCAACGAAATACTATATTTTCCTTGTGATAACCTTGTTTAAATTTATATATTTTCGTCAGTCGTGAGGCCAATTTTACTTTTACACTTCCTTCTTGTATATTTATATGTATTGTGTTCTTTATTATGTTGGAACACAAACCCAAGCATACAAAGATTAGGACCCTGACGTTTGTTCTCTTGAACAAACAACTCGACCTATCTGAAATGAAATTACAGACCTCTGTCATGCGAGAACGAATTTTCAGATCTTCAGCACAATTGTGGATGACAAACGACATCTGGACTAAACTAGCCTCGCATAAGACTAAGCGAAACATTTGGCCTGATTTGGCCCTGGTACCACGACACTCACTGCAAATCTTACCGAAAGTGGGATAAATCTTGCATTTTCCTTAGTCCTAAATTCACTGCCACAAGCGTTGTAGGGAAGCCTCCCTATGGCGGAAATTGTTACCATTGAAAAAAGCCTACAACTTTCCATCGCCGATGTGAGGAGGTTTTTATCTCGTTGACGCTGGCACAGAAGCAAGCTTCCTTTCAAGACAAAAAAACGATCCTTCACATGGTTTAGTTATTCGTCTACAGGAAGTAAACTAAAAACAGGATGACACCTGAGGCAAACGGTACGCTTAACGTAAGCTTACACAAACCCGTGCGACAGAATTCATTGAAGCAGACCTGTCAGTACCGATCATTGGTATATACTTGCAACATCACAACAACCTACTCGTCGACCCAAGCGAATCGTTGTACTTAATTACGTTTTTAGAACGTCATTCCCTGGTAGTAGGTTATCTCCAGCCACAAATAAACACATAATCAACACGTTCTCTTAACCAATACTCAAATGGTGCTCGAAAACACAGTTACTGTGTGTAACTCTCAGTGCTGCAAAGGACCACCCGTATTCCTCCATTCATACGCGCTACTTTCACTCCAAGAAATGCTGCTCAAACATCTCAGAGATTTATTGATGACGTCCTCAGAGTTCCCACCTTCGTGCATGCCTGTGTTAATGAAATTTGAATAGCGATTCCGTACAGAAAACCTCATCTGCAGCATTCGAATCTTGGTTTCCAAAGGAATCAAGAACGCAACGCTACTTTAACATAAAGAAATATCCTATTGGAATCGACTTCTTCGTCCTCAGTCAAATAATTACGCATGTTCAACAAATCCATAGGTTTCTACCGACGATTCACACCAAATAGAACGTGTCTCGGGGGACCGTTAATCCACTAATCACATGGAACTGAGCAATTCAATAATTTGGACGACTGCTTGGAAATCATTTTCCGCAACGAAGGTATACATCGCTAAGTCAACTATGTTGTCACGCCTCGACACCGAAGCACCCATTAGTGTCTCAGTAGATGCATCCGATTCAATCCTACATTAGTGGCGAAACGATACCTGACAACCGTTGATGTGCTTCTCGAAACGGTTGCAGGACGCCGAATCGAGGTGATGTACTTTCAGCAGGTATTGTCAGCCATATATTGTGTTGTAGAACACTATCAACACTTGGTGGAAGGCCGAAAATTCACTCTTTTCACAAACAGTAAACCTGTAACTTTTTCTTATAGCTCACTTCAGTCAAGTGTTCTCTTCGAGAGTACCGATAACTGAACTACATCTCACAGTCTATTTCACATGAACAACACATTTTGTCTGTGAACAATGTATCTGCAGACGACTTGTCTCGTACGAACTCCTTGGATAGTTTCCGAAGAATTGAACTTCTTTGACTTGTTCAGCCTCACGAAGAAGACACACATCAACATTCCTTAAAGTACGAATCAATCAGATGGGGATAAGTTAGAAAACTATACTTCGTGATACATCTACACGTGGGGATCGTCCAGTCATGCCGAAACATTATCGACGTAAAATCTTCAATTCGTTGCACACACTTTCTCATCCAGGTTTCCGAGCAGCCATCAAGCTGATTCGGTCGACTTTCAACTATTACTACAGACCGTCGATGTCACTTGGAATATGAAAGTTTCCGCTGTCTTACTACACTCTTAAGAATCATACCATTCCATACCACCTCCTACCTTCGGCAAGCACGCGGTCGAGTAGGACGGCTCCACTGACATTTGCAAGTCTGACTCATGCAACACATACCTATTGGGCTATTTCAATGAGCTTACGCAAAAACAAGACAAAGGGCTTCTGGTATCAGTCTTTTCTTCGACTTAAAGGAATCTTTGGATTAGGTCCAACACAAAAGGGTTCTCCTCGAAGTAAAGTCATTTTAAGTCAGTAGCCTACTATATTCCTGGTTCGTTTCACTACTAATTGGACTCCTACAAATGGAAAAGTACAGTGATTGCCTTTCATCACTAGGACCAATAACCAATGGAGTTATCCGGAGGGGTATATGAATTCCACCGTTGTTTCTTCTGTACGTAAACGATATATGTAAACTGTAATCTTTGGAAGGTCAAACATACATGTGGATGAACTCAAAATACTATACAGCTGTGAGCTTGAAGAGCTGAACAAAAATATAGCCAGGATTCAATGTGACCATGGCGACCAATCTACATGGATCGAAAGACGGCAGCTGGCTATTACCACAACAGCTGTGGTATCAGGCATTTTAGTTAGCATCAAAATAAAATACCAATCTACTTGCAGAAATCCAGGGTTCCGAATCTCCTTTCGGCTCATGATCTGGGCATTTACAACAGAGAAAGTCAAAAATTTTAAAAACATGCCTCCCCTTATGTCTGTTTATCTAGACGGCTTATTGGGTTTATAAATGGAAACTTGACAGATGAGGCTATGCTTACACTCTTCATGACGTAAACAAGGCCCTCCTTTGAACACTAATCACTTATCTTTTCAAACATCAGTGTAAATGGATTTTCTACCGTAGCAGTCCAAATGGTTTCCAGTAAGTGCAATTCGAACGCGTTATCTCCCAATCCAATGTTAAAAACACAATAATTCTAGGAGAAAACGGTCTATATTATATTAAAAATGGAAATACAATTCAATACCTGAATTTTGATGCACTTTCCAAGTCACAATTACTCCGAGGAGTATCCGAGATTAGAAGGGACTAAGTGATGTTAAATCCAACCGCCACAGTATCAATCCAAATATGGCTGTAGCCATATTAAAGATCAAATTTAAACAACATATATACAGTTCAGAAGCAAACATAAAAACTTCAATATAAGTACAAAATATAGAAATAATAACAATATACGATGATAAAATCTCAAATTGGAATCAAATAAAATACCAAAAATGTCAACAGAAAAAGTCCGTCATGTTATAACAAAAATATGTAAACATGGAGGGATTTTCCAAAAAACAAAACATTCATAAAGGATATTACAATCAGTATCCTTGAAATGATACGAGTAGAAAATGTCTGAAGAAGCTTCACACGGCGACTGCTAGTATGGAACCATATTCTCAACTACACAGAAATATGTCTAAATCTTTCCCCAGAACCTCTTTGGTGTAGTCACTTGAAAAACAACTTAATACTACTTTAGTAAATAATGTATGGACTCTTGTTTGTAACACCCACCAAATTATGAACCACAACCTTTCTCACCAAATCATAAACAACGCGCATACGCTACTAACGTCAAAACACAAAAGTTAATGCCTTGCAATTTTTTGTAACATGATACAGTTTATTACAGAACGGATTACCGATTTCTATCCGTATCTCTGACACAATCTCTAGGTTCAAGAAACTAGAAATGCTATTGCTAGACGCTCAAAAGATTTACCAACTCTTTCCGGAACTTATGCCGAATCCCAATCCGTTTTTATAGTCCATCTGATACTTAAACTAACCCTATAATCTATCAGCAGACCAAAGGTGTAGTGAACTCACATTACCGTTCATGCAGGTATCAAGAAGTGATTGACACAAGATTATCCTACTCCTACCTACAACAGCAGGTTATGTCTTTATGCTTAAACCCTTAACATGCTGAGTTTCCTCAATTTTTATATGCGCATCATTATCTTATTGTCTTCTACATCACTCCTAATTTTCGTTTCTGACATACAGATAAACTCAAAAGCATGTAGATGCCACTCAACTACTGTCGATCACCAGGAACTCAGACCTCATGCATCATTTTGAGTTCATTACTGTTCATGGATTACCAGTTTCATAAATTGTATTTTCTAAAATTTATTGACCTCCTAACACCTTGCTTTCCTACCTATTTATCGCCTTACTCATGAATTTTTAACCCTATTTTTCCTCATTTTCTTTCTTCAGCTGCCTATCATTCCTATCTGCAAACCGCCTATCAGTTGACCCACTAGTTACCTGAAGAGCGGTGTGATATGCTACATTGATATTTAGTCCGAAGCTAAAGTTGTTTGGTTTGCTTGTAACATGGAGGTGTAATAAAGCGTTCTCAGAATAGAGCTTAGACTTAAAAATATTAATTAAAATTTACGACAAAACGTGAGAGCTTTACATCACAAAAGGAGGAGGGGTGGTGTATTTGACCACCATTCATGACGGTGTGGCGATAACCTCAATCTCCCTGTGTCTGTAGGGCAGAACATTTTCTTTTGCATACGGCTCCTTAAGATATGGCAGGATGTAACCAATTAATGATATTGATGTTACTTTTCCAAGTCAGCTGTATCTACAAATCATGTTTATAAACTTGCAGTCTTTCCACATCCTAACAAGAAATCCTTTCAAAATCTGACCTGGGCAATTTCATTCATGATTTCTTCAGCTAAAGTCATAGAAATATAACATCACAACTAACTGATCACCGGCCAGGTAACGTGATAGCTGTTAGTATTCAGAAACTCCACTTCACCAGAACAAGCGTACTCATTCAATTCACGGGACATACAAACTCACAAACCACTGTCAATTGACTAGAATTAGTGCAGTAAACTGACTTTACCCCCATTCATTGGACACTACCAAACACATGGAACCGTATCGAAAGAACAAGAATCGAGCACAAAGGAATCAATTGGTTCGTAATAGCTCGAGAAAAAATATTAAATATATTGAATATTGTGGTGAAGTGTTTTAAACTCATTAATTATGACATACGTATACTGAAGATCAGCTAGAAACCCTGTTTAAATACGTCATTGTTTACTTTATTATTCATATTGTACTTATACATTTACTTATTATATGAACTTACTTTTGCATTGTTCTGTGTTTAAATTCACTAATTAATATGTTGGCATAGAGGATGTAACAACTGTAATTCATACTCTTGGCTTTCAGCATTCGGTATTCTTAATTCTCAAGTGTATAGAATCTTTTTTACACAGTTCAAGCCAGTTTCGTGTGACCAATTTATCCTTTTCATTAACAAGCTATTCTTGGTTAAATCACAATGAAAAAAACTGACAAAAAATTGTAAGATAGAAACCAACCATACTAATCGTTAGAAGAGATGTTTTGAATCTAAAAAGGGAGAATAAACTTTTAACCGTAGAAACAAAGGATATGGAAGAGAAGTTGAAACTTCTTAAATCGGCTCTTTATTCGGAGCTAAGGAAGACAAACAAATCCAGGTAATTTGATGATCCAGTTCAAGTTCAGTGATCAGTTCTTCTGCGCCGATTTGGGAAGGTAGTTCTTCAACCTCCACAACCAGCAAACAGGGACCAGATGCATTAGTCGACGTATGAAATTGGTTTAACATGTTGTGTATACTTGGTTTTAGGTCAGTAGACTAAAATTCAAAACCTTAAAGTACAATTCGGCTTCAGAAAGTAGCTCTTTTCATTGATTTATCACTTAGCAAGTCAAGAGCCTAGATACATATGGAAGTAATATCCGAAAGTCAAACAAGCAGGTGAAGCATGCGCACGTGAATCCGGCCAATACTGAACAGTTCATGTGTGGACAGTGTGAAAGTAAAAAGGCAGTAGTTGTACGTCCTAAGTTCTTAATATTTCCGTGTAGTTGTGCCAGGAATGCAGTGAATATTACTGCGTTAAATGTTTTGCAACGTTTCACTTGAAAGGAGCACTTAGACGTCATCATTCACTACCTATTTCGGTATGACACTTATATGTAATCGTTTTAGACTCATAGCTTCCGACCGGAACTACATCACTGCAAAAACACTGGTGATATTAACCAAATACCAGGAGGCAATGAGGTAGTTAATAAGGTAATTTACGTTCCTATAAATTACTAATTATACTTTTGACTTGTCAAAGGTCGCTCATATTTCTAATATTCGATTAAATTATTCCAAGTAACGATGCTTTTTACGATTTGAGTATGAAGTTAATAAAATCTGATTATGCGGAGACCGGAATTTGTGCACTTCTAAACGGAATGAAACTAAATTTCGACAAACATTCCACTAATGGAAGTATCTATCTCATAAACTATGCCACCCAAAAAGTATTTAGAGAGGAACTTTTGTAAAGTGATTGATTTGCTTGCAATGTTCCACCCCTTAAGTCTACAAAATACTGGATGCAATACAGACAGCTTTCAAGCCTTAAAAAATGGTATGATCAAATAAACGTGCCAACATTCGTTAAATATTTTTCTGGGCTTCAGTTTCAATATGACTATGTCTCCATCTAGTTGACCAGTCGGTATAATTTTGATTGAATACATTAAGCTGGACGTCGATGCAACATACGAACACTTGAGTAAGGTATTATAGCTTTGTTTTCCAGAAATTTCTATACCTCACAATACTGCTAGGATCAAAGTTCCACAGGAATATTCTAAACATTCAGACTTATTGTTTTTAGAATCTGTTGCTTTAGGGTCCTGTTTAGTTTTCCCTACCTGTATGAAACTCTACTGAGACAACTTCCAGGTTTTAAACCTTCAAGAATAAAATTGGCAATGAATCTGTTTTTTTATATAGGATAAATTTAAGCTCTTCTTGAGTAATTTGATCAATTTTTGAAGAGTAATTAGTTTTATCAGTTCAAAGATAACATTTTTACCAAAATATCGCACTAAAATATTTAATTATATGCTAAGTCGCCGCATGTAATTGTCAAATCCATACTTGCATTTAGACCTACTCACCATGCATCAATGAAGATAAATCAAAGCTAAAAATGATAGTTTAGGTATATTTGTGGGTATAAGGGGTTTCAAAGTTTTTTAATTTGTTGTTTTGTGCCACTAGTTGACTTTAGTTAGACAGCCATTAAAGCTAAAATACACCAGAATAAAACAGCTGCCAATTCTTCTTGGTTTTCAGTGATTGTCTCACTATTATTTTATGAAATCACATTTTTTTAATTTAATTCATGAATATACCATGCAGAATTCTGACCACTAAATTGAAAAACCTTTTATTAAACATTCGTAATACGTAAGAGATTGAATACATAGTATTATCCACTGGATAATAATAATCAGAATGAAATTGGAATAAAATACAAAGTAAAAAATCTTCGAGGCCTTCATCCGTTGGATTTATGAGTTAGTTAAAGCACAGGAATAATTCCATACACATAAGTTCTAAATCAGATCTGATCGGATTTGCATAGTGAACTTTAGTAGCACAAATCCGAATCAAATGATGTCTGTAAAAGCTGTTGTTTACAGCAAATTTATATGAAAATTCTGTCTATTTCCGAATACTTATATGACCACCTAGACAATCTTTAGAGAGAATCCTACATAGTATTAGTTATAGCTCGTAGTTTTATAAGCTTAGGGCAGTTGTGATCATAATAATCGTAGAATTTAATCAGTATGTTCATGGACTTTATCAAATTTAAGAGATTAACAGTTCAAGAACAGTCCCTCGATCACACAAAAGTTAAATTTTCTCACGGATAAACCTATCAGTGTTAACACTTGACTGTCCTTGTTTTGATTCCCGAGTGACTTAACAAAATATTCATTAGGAGTTCCAGAATATGTCGGAGAATCTTGTACACCCATAGTTAATGTCAGCCTGCTCCGTAAAATTGCAAGGTCCTCACATATTTTGAATAGCTTTCATTGTAAGCTGATGTCAGTTGAGAGTCTCGAGTGCAGTACTTGTGGATATCATACTGCACTTCACTAAAAAATCAAAAACTACTGAGAGACAAGCATTGAGTACTACTGGGCTCCAGTAGTTCTCCGTTATACGTAAATTAATAATTTATAAAACTTCCTTCAATATGTATATTTAGATAGACAGTTTATGGAATATTAATTTTCACATAAAGTGACTTTTCATTATATTTGAGCAGGAGTGTCAAAATTCCTTCAACACTGCAACTAAATCAAATTCAGCCTTACAAACTGAAGCAATAACTGGTATCGACCATCATGATCCCCTTGCTGAAACTTCACTATCATCAACAAAATCTTCAGCAACATCCAGTCATAGTACATCAACAATGAATAAAACATCTGTTCCAATAGAAATCTATTTCACCCCAAGTATAACTTACGCAGAAAAACTACTACTTCGTTTGTATCGCAATTCCAAACTTCAGCAATCAATAAGGAAAGAAAGCATAAGCAATCAAACAGTATGTGAAAGAATGTTTTTGTTAAATCCAAATATTGGTGAGTTTTAGGTTTTGATTAAATCTTTGCGTATACTGAAGTTTGAAATTTTAATTTAATTGACACAAATAATTGAAATCCTAATGCGTTAAAATATATTTGAATTTTAACGGTTCGACAAACAACAACTTAGAAAATACACTTTTCATTGTAATTTGTGAATTATTTACTGCCATGCAACTTTAAAATCTCATTAATCATCGGGCACAAACTTGATTCCATAGGTCTTTCGAAACTTTATGTAGATCTTAACTGGAATATAGATTGTTTATTTAAAATAAGTAAACTTTATGGACGCAAATCATATTTCCAGTGGAGAGTTTGAAAAAAGACTGATTTTTCTTATTCTGAGCTTTAGCTCTTCGGGTATACAACATCAAATCTCTTATTCTTTGCACATCATTATTTCCTTTTGAAATCAGGGAGCTTCGTGATAATAAGTATTAAATGTCTTCTTTTCAAATACTCCAATCTGGGTTCATTCTAATATCATACATACCTCGATTTTATTTGTTATAATGGGAGATACAGTTGAAACCAATATTTACATTATACATTTAACACTAAGATAATTTGTCTGTTACGGCTAATTAGAAGAAACGTAAGTTATTGACAGGATACTGGAAAACTAATTCAGAATACTGAAACGAAAGCTGAATAAAGTTTTAAAATCACTGAAATGTTTACATGTGTCAACACTTCCAATTACTTGATTTTTTAAGACTTGTAGCTCGGATCACAATTACATCCTCTTGGAAAATTCTTTACCATGAAATTTTGACAGCATTATAGGAAAAAGCGGACAGAATTTAAGTTCGTTTTCTTCAATGGGAGAAAACAAAAAGGTCAACTTTATCATCCATACAAAATTAAACAAAATAACCTTTTAAGTATTATTCCTGACTGCATACAGGCATAAATTAACACTAAGAGCTAAAACCTGATGTTTGTGAGCTTGTTACCACGACTATTCTTAACGTAAATATTAACGTTTGTATATATTATCTTACTTTTTGTTTGTTTTATTGTCTTTTAAATTTATGTTGTCAACTCACCACGGAATCGAATAGAAGAGGAGGAAAGAAATCAGAAAGAAACTATGGAAAATTGTACAGTGAATCGAGTCTCATTTGATGAATTACATAAATTAGCCACAACTCAAATCCAACTGAGTAAAAATAATACACGTGTCTTTTCCCATTCCAAATTAAATTCAGAACGTCCTATCAGTCAGTGTGATAAGGTAAAATTAATGTTTTGTTTCTTCAATTTCACAATTTGATTATTCAATTAATAAAGTGTTTATTTTCAATATTATTTATTTATAATAGATAACGTATTCAACTATTGATGAATTAAATGAACACCATCCAGGAATCCCCCTTTTTAATGAGACGTTATATAATTTAGCTAAACAAAGAAAAAATACTGAGCGAACTCACAAAGAACAATGTTCTCAGTAAGCATTGTAAAGTTTTATGAGTATTTATTTACTGAACTGCTGATTTTGTTTACACGATGGTAAACTCAGTCATTACTTTCAAACTAATCGGACTATATCATTTTGTTATGATGTATTGAGTCAGATTTCAAGATATATTGAATATTGACTAGTTTATTATATTTGCATTGTGTCCACCACTGAAATGCAGGTAAAACGTTACGTCCTACTCAGGGCTCGTTTGCTCGATATACCTAGATCTCACTGTCGATACTTACGTCTTCTTGTTTCTATTTAGGCTTCAGTGTTTTATCCACTGATCAACGAGTGAGATTTCTATTCTCAGGAGTTCATATTTTCTTGCTCCTAGTATTAGGGACTGTAATTCATAAGTCTCTGTTATTATGCGTGCATCCTGAGCACAGTGACTCCATATTACCGTTTAGCTAAAAAAATCCCTAGTATTTATATGTCACATATAAAAGAGGAAGTCCGAATGCTCATTTTTTTCCTATTTGACCACTCTGCTCAGGACATCAGTAATCTTAAAATACAAATCCCCATGAACCAATGAATCGATTCGAAAGTTCTTCTGTTAGTAGTGTTGCTGCTGACTGGTAGCCTACAGTGCTGTATAAATCTCTCCACTTTATCTTTACTATCAAAAAGGTTATCGTGTGGAATCCTTCAGCTGATATCAAATGGTTTGAAGAATTCTTTACTGAACAATTAATGTGCAAGTTATAAGACATAATAATTAAAAGGTATACATTTGAATATCATTTGCAAGAAACGGCTGGTGTCGTCGATCAAGTTCACATGAATTAAATATCAATAAAACAGCGTAGCTTATTTCAAGCCAAGTTTACCAGTAGTATACTAAAAATATATTAAAAAGCTGATGCATCAATGTTATTTAAGCAGGATTAGCTTATGTTGAATACGATGATCAATCAATGTAATTAGTAAGCTCGCCTCTCAATTAGTAGTTCCTGGATGAACATGGGCAAATATTCTGATTCAACAGAATGCATTTGAGATGGAGGAGATTTGTAGCTCAGGTGAATGACAGTGGTGGAGTTTCATTCTCAGGACAGTTTATGACTTTAGCTAACCGTGAAAGTCATACGTTTATGCGAAATATATATAGTAGTTTAGTTTAACACTGTCAGACCATTTACAGAAAAGCAAGTCGTACAAGTACTTCTTCACTATATCTTGTGATTAAGTTTAAACTATGCTGTTTTTCAAAACATGTTTTACTTTTATTCCGAATAAAAACTCTATGTTGAAATAGAGTACGTAAACGTCAATTTCTCAAGATGCATTTGATAGAAATCAATAGAAAATGTAGATAAAAACTTATCAATAATTGGTTTGCCATAATTGTTTTATTTGGTTTAATCATTAGTACCTGTTATATGATTTGACTTATCATGTCATTCGTCAATTAATTTAAGCACTATTCTTTACATAAAAGGGCCACCAGACGATAATTTGTATTGATCGTTATATTTGGTTACTTATCAAAAACCTTATGGTCATTTAAGTTACCCACCGTTGAAAAATAACTTTTCAAGGCGACTACTACCAGAATCGTGTGAGCAATACATACATTGTCGTGGTTGATCATACATTTACCAAACTTTATTTGTCGTAAATTATCACTGTCCGTTCTCAGTCAACAACTTGTCAAAGTTTACCAAAATATAAAACATCCGCAACAGTAAAGAAAATTTATCTTAGGCATTTAAAAAGTCTTCTTTTCACTTTGATTTTCCTATTCAACTTTACTTAGGATCATTGATGGAGATCATTTTGTCGAAAATATTGATGAAAATAATAAAGTCATGGGTATGTTAAGTGTTAATAAAATTTAACTATTTACGTAGTAACAATCGATTATTTTGCACTAGAAAAATATTTTGATATTATGTAACTAACAGAACAAATGAAATATTCTACAAAGAGAATTAAATTGGTTATAAATAAATGAACATAGATTTTCCTTGAAATCTTGAATAGGATTTTGATGATCTATCCAAGAAACCTAGGAAAGTGAAGTGAAAATTTAATTCTAAACTCTATCAAGTTCCACTTTCAACCAAAGATGGTTATTTCACCGGTTAACAGCCTACTTTGTGAACTACACTTCAAATATCCTTTTATTTCTCATGGCATAAATTTGTCATTAGTGAAACTAAATCTACGTAATCAGTTTTTGTCACTTTTATGTTCATTTTGTATATATATATATATATATATATATATATATATATATATATATATATATATATATATATTTAAAACTGTTGTTTAATTTTTTTAATAAAGGTTTACTAAATGGTAAGCAAAATATCTGGCAACCAGCTCAGTCATTAATTAATCCCGATTCTGATAAAAAATATTCAAGTCAGTAAAACAATTATTCATAGTTTCAGTATGGTTTCGAATGATCCCTTCGTGAACACAGCTGACCTGCAAAACCATTGGTAAAATCAAGTCACCCTTAAAAAGCAACATAACGCGATTCAGTGGTAAATTTTATGGATATGACTGCTGATCACTTTGTTCTTACTGATAATGAACCGGATTATTCAAATTTTATCAGTAAACTGCTTTTCACACGTTTGAACGATTTCTTTTTAATGATCCATTTATTTTATAACAAAATAAACTGTTTGGTCAATTGAACAAAATGCTGTACTGTTCAATAAACTTCCAGACCAGCTTGAAAAAAATTTATCACATAAAATGTGCTGTTAATCATTCATATATCCTCTTTTTATATTCCTTATCTGTGACCATACAATTCTTATATCCTCATTTTTACTTGAAAAATCCCTAAATGACTTTTAAAAAATTATATTAGCCAATTAGTTGTTTTTCAGCCGCAAATGACTTATGAAAGTCGTTTAAATAGGTATCTACTAAGTGACAATATTCCCTAGTATAGGAGAGAAAATATCAAAACCTTAAAGAAAAAACATATGAATGTTTTCAAACTAGGGCTGCAGCAAAATACAACAGAAATGCAAATAAATCAGAAAAAAATCGGAATTAAAAAATTTAGACACATTAACGTAGACATACAGAATACCTACTGCGTGAGAAAACGAAAAAATTCCGAAAACATAAATTAAACAAGGACAACAAAAAAGCGATATCACTGATGAAATTCGCAAAAACAAACACCGAAAACAGATAGCAGTAAAAATTTATCGATTGCGTGAATTGCAGATCCTAAGTTTGAATGGACACCACAAAATAGTGAAGTGCTGAGTAGGATATAAGTTTTGGGAGAGCCTTGGATTTCATCTAAGGATGGACTTCGGATTTGTTGGATTTGCTCACGGATGCTTGGGACCGGATAACGGAAAGTAGGTTGCAGTCCAAGCTGCCAGGAGCCCACTTGTACTGTAAGTCGCGTACAAAGGCACATTCAACAACGGATATTAGATCGTCACAACTGTTCTGGAATGTTTCTCGTCCACTAAATGCTTTGGCGTTCCACTTTTGCAATGGACCCCAAAACAATCGGTAGACGTCCACGAAGACTCGTTTAGCACCCATTGGACGTAAATAGATAATCAAGTCTTAGTGTGGATAGATCCTGTGTGGCTTTTAAAGCTAGGTAGTCAATTGCGACTCTGGCAAACACAGTTTTCACATCAAGACTGAACTTTATTTGCTTTACTGTCAAATAAATTGTTTAATCTCTCACACTGATATCACGTGTTGGTCTTATGAAGTTCACACTGTTCCAACCGGGAGCTGGTTGTCGCAAAGTGAGTGACAGGTCTTTACATGACATGATCTATTGGAGATGAGAGCCAGTGGTAAGGTTTGGTGATTCTCAATGCTTGATAGTTGTGAAGAGTGTCCTCCACAGGAGTCCTGCCGCTTATCTGGAGAAGCATTTTGGTCTACGTGATTCAAGGCAGCTAGGGTTTGTTAGTAAGTGTAAGTGCTGTGGGTTCCTTAGAATTGTCACTGACCGCCAATGTCAGCGCCCGAGGAGCGTTTACTTATGTTTGTTTATTGATAGGTCTTTAAAGGTCTACTTCCATTTGAGTTTTAGAACGTTCTCATTTGAGCGATCGCGGAATTGCGCACATCCCCGTCTTTGTCATTGCTCTACTGGCTCTCTTTGGTGTGTGCGTTTCTAGAAGATGGGTGTCAGCCTGTCTCATTGACAATAGGCCTTCCAATGAATGTCGTATGCAAATCTTAGACTTGTTTGTAGCAAGCACACGTGCACAGGGCATTGATAACGTAGTCTACACGCCAGGAATTTATTCTGTTAGTTGCCTAGTTGGTTGAGTCGTTCTCAGTCGTCACTATTCAGCACCGTGGAAAATACGCTGGGAAACGTCAGGCTATATGGCGTTTAGAGTTGGTGTCTAGTTCTGGGTAGTCTGTTGCGACTTGTGTTACCATTAGATTTGAGGAGTAACAGGTGCTACATTAAGAGTTCCAAGGTGGGTCTTGAAGCTAGCTAGTGCTTTGGAATCGAGTCAAGTCAAACAGTGGGAAATCCAGTAGTTGGGAATGCCGATCATCACAACGAGCCAGAGGTTTGTCTAGATTTAAGCACAAATCAGTGTTTGTCGTGCCGGTGTGCTGTCTGCATGTCCACAGCGCTATAAGCTGAGACATGGTGTAAACATAGATCAACTCAAAGGACAGTTATCGGTCGCTCGAGGAGAACACTCGCATGTGTTTGAGCCCTCAGGGTGGTCGTCTCCGTGGTCATACAAACCTTAGAGTTCGTTCTCATACCATATGAACAACGGTCTGAATGAGAGGCTGGTTTCACTTAAACTTGCGAACGAGTGTGTGTAGGCTGTTGATTGTTCGACTGATGAACAATACTTTCTGTTACTATTGAGTCCATGTTCACCGGTGTGAGTGTGATAGAGTTGTGTTTCTTCAGTTTGCGGTGCTTAATGGGGAAACAATGGAAGTACTTAAACATCGACATCAGAGTTTTCTTCGCTCAACAGAAAAACAGTTCCCAGCCATGTGACTCACTGTCGGGCCCACTGTATATATGAGAGAGGAGAGACAACTGAGTGTTTGGTTGCTAGGTCCTTTTGGTTTACGGTGAATGAGGGGCTGGACGTGGTCCAGTCGCGCCGATGTTTGTTTATCTCAGCACCAATCGGTATAATGAGTTCTCTTCGGGCTTCGTATAAGGGAGTAGTTTACCAGGCCAGTCAGTTAAGCCTCTCTTGAAATCTTATTCCTTGAAGTCGGCGAATAAGAGTAGGCGAATCATGCAGCACATGATCGTTCGGCATCTCACCAGGACAGAAATGTCCATTTTCGTTCGAAACAATGCTATTTATTTCTGGTACTAATTGTTCTACTGATACTTTGAGGTGTCCTTCGATCAGGATAGATTTCAGAGGCATATTACAACAGGCCCTGGTCATGATTGGTTTAATCTACAAACAATTGGTGCAAGCACTGGGACTGCTAAAAGTATTCTGAAATTGTGTTTACCGAAGGGTGATTTGTGTTGTATGTGTTCACCAACATTTTAGTATGTTCAGTTGAAACCGCAACTACGCAATAATCTGTCATTTTCATTGTGACCACTGCGTGTAGGGATCACACTCACAAACCTTACTCCTAATAGGCGTAGAAATTGACAATTAAACCGGGGCTCGGAGAACCTTTGTTTTATCCGTTCACAATCTCTGTTGAGCGGCACTCTGGAACTGACGTCAAAATGTCCAGAACTACTTATAAAATCTACGTTGGAAATCTCCCCCCAGATACAAAAACTCGAGATATTGAGAATCTGTTTTCAAAGTATGGTCCGATTGCAGCAATCGATCTGAAGGCTGGACAAAGACGTGGTCCTCCGTTCGCATTCGTTGAGTTCGAAGATGAGCTGTAAGTTGTGTTTATATGACGTGGACTTTCCCAGTGATGCATCAGACGCCGTTCGTGGACGTGATGGCTACAACTTTGATGGGTATGCCTTGCGTGTCGAACTGCCACGGACTGGAGGTTATAACAATGGAGCTGGTGGTCCTAACCATAACCAGTTCCGACGTGGAGGCTTTAACCGTGGTGGCGGGGGTGGTGGAGCCAGTGGTCCTTCAAGAAGGTCGGACTTCCGGGTAATTGTTACGGGCTTGCCACCCACTGGTAGTTGGCAAGACCTCAAAGATCACATGCGCGAGGCCGGCGATGTTGGATATGCCGATGTGTTCCGTGACGGCACCGGTGTGGTTGAATTCCTAAGGTACGAAGATATGAAGTATGCTATTAGACGACTGGATGATTCCAAGTTTCGTTCTCACGAGGTATGTTTGTTGGTTATGGCAACTCGAACGTTTTAGGGTGAATCTTCCTATATCCGTGTTCGCGAGGAAAGGGCTGGAGGGTCTCGTTCCAGATCTCGGTCGTACGGCTCACCACGTAGAGGTCGGTCCTACGATTCCTGCTCCCGATCAATAAGCCCTCGACGATAGAACACTGGACAAATGTGAAAGTTTGTACGTAATTAAAATTTAATGTCACGGCCATTTCTATTCGTTATCACACAAACTCAATACAGTTTTCTTGCTTTTGAAGGTCTTCTGGATAATGGAAAGAGGAAACGACCGCATAGAAGGGGACAGCAGAATATTAGTTATGTGGCTACAGGATGGACTCAGTACATCTGAAGGGATAGGAATACTAATGTTTACTATCTTTGTCTGTGGATTGATGAAAGCACTTTGCTACGAGTGATTCTCAGGAGGTCATACTTCTACTTCTCCAAACGGAAAGGGGACTAGGTGTACATTGTGGATCCTAAGTTTGAATGGACACCACAAAATAGTGAAGTGCTGAGTAGGATATAAGTTTTGGGAGAGCCTTGGATTTCATCTAAGGATGGACTTCGGATTTGTTGGATTTGCTCACGGATGCTTGGGACCGGATAACGGAAAGTAGGTTGCAGTCCAAGCTGCCAGGAGCCCACTTGTACTGTAAGTCGCGTACAAAGGCACATTCAACAACGGATATTAGATCGTCACAACTGTTCTGGAATGTTTCTCGTCCACTAAATGCTTTGGCGTTCCACTTTTGCAATGGACCCCGAAACAATCGGTAGACGTCCACGAAGACTCGTTTAGCACCCATTGGACGTAAATAGATAATCAAGTCTTAGTGTGGATAGATCCTGTGTGGCTTTTAAAGCTAGGTAGTCAATTGCGACTCTGGCAAACACAGTTTTCACATCAAGACTGAACTTTATTTGCTTTACTGTCAAATAAATTGTTTAATCTCTCACACTGATATCACGTGTTGGTCTTATGAAGTTCACACTGTTCCAACCGGGAGCTGGTTGTCGCAAAGTGAGTGACAGGTCTTTACATGACATGATCTATTGGAGATGAGAGCCAGTGGTAAGGTTTGGTGATTCTCAATGCTTGATAGTTGTGAAGAGTGTCCTCCACAGGAGTCCTGCCGCTTATCTGGAGAAGCATTTTGGTCTACGTGATTCAAGGCAGCTAGGGTTTGTTAGTAAGTGTAAGTGCTGTGGGTTCCTTAGAATTGTTACTGACCGCCAATGTCAGCGCCCGAGGAGCGTTTACTTATGTTTGTTTATTGATAGGTCTCTAAAGGTCTACTTCCATTTGAGTTTTAGAACGTTCTCATTTGAGCGATCGCGGAATTGCGCACGTCCCCGTCTTTGTCATTGCTCTACTGGCTCTCTTTGGTGTGTGCGTTTCTAGAAGATGGGTGTCAGCCTGTCTCATTGACAATAGGCCTTCCAATGAATGTCGTATGCAAATCTTAGACTTGTTTGTAGCAAGCACACGTGCACAGGGCATTGATAACGTAGTCTACACGCCAGGAATTTATTCTGTTAGTTGCCTAGTTGGTTGAGTCGTTCTCAGTCGTCACTATTCAGCACCGTGGAAAATACGCTGGGAAACGTCAGGCTATATGGCGTTTAGAGTTGGTGTCTAGTTCTGGGTAGTCTGTTGCGACTTGTGTTACCATTAGATTTGAGGAGTAACAGGTGCTACATTAAGAGTTCCAAGGTGGGTCTTGAAGCTAGCTAGTGCTTTGGAATCGAGTCAAGTCAAACAGTGGGAAATCCAGTAGTTGGGAATGCTGGTCATCACAACGAGCCAGAGGTTTGTCTAGATTTAAGCACAAATCAGTGTTTGTCGTGCCGGTGTGCTGTCTGCATGTCCACAGCGCTATAAGCTGAGACATGGTGTAAACATAGATCAACTCAAAGGACAGTTATCGGTCGCTCGAGGAGAACACTCGCATGTGTTTGAGCCCTCAGGGTGGTCGTCTCCGTGGTCATACAAACCTTAGAGTTCGTTCTCATACCATATGAACAACGGTCTGAATGAGAGGCTGGTTTCACTTAAACTTGCGAACGAGTGTGTGTAGGCTGTTGATTGTTCGACTGATGAACAATACTTTCTGTTACTATTGAGTCCATGTTCACCGGTGTGAGTGTGATAGAATTGTTTCCTTAGTGCCGCTTAAGCCTACTGTTAGAAGTGTAAACTTATGGGCTGGTTTTAATTGTTGAGCTATTGGATGCGTGAAACGTAGCATATTTAATTTGTCCATGTTGTTCGGAAATTTATTTTCGTTTAAGCTTAATGGTTGATAGCAGTCTTAAGTAGGTTATGACCTTTTTTCCTAAGAATTGGGAAACAAGGTCTTACGTACGAACTAAATTTCAGGTTTTTATCAATAAAGCTACTAGTTTTCAGTCAGAAAACTGTCTGTTTCTTTTGACTACGGCTGTCGAATAATAAAAGTAAAACTGCTGTGTAGAAGCGGGTTTTCTTAGGGCTTCTAGTTCTGATTCATTGTCTTCCTCGTGGTTACCGAGCTACATAACGAAGTAGTTACTGTATCTCAAAATGTAGCAGTGTCACGCCTCAGGAAATCGGTTTGGATTTTGCTTTCGGAGGAGCGGCAAGTCTTACAGCATGGGATAATATTAGAATTTGGTTAGAGTTTAGTAAAAATATGTAAGCATTCAATCCATGCTATCTCTCCCAGCTGTTGTGACGACTAACAAGTACGTGGACTTACTATTCTATTAGCTCGTATGCAATAGTCGACTTGTGTAGCACATTACAAAAACGCTTGTAAGTGAAGGCCGAGATCACGACCAGCTTTTAGAAGTGTCAACCAACAATTCTCTCCTCATTTTCCTAGAATACAGTAACCCCAAGTCATAGATACCTTCTGCATTAATTTTTGTCAATATCATGAACAAACGTCTCATCAAAGAGTACTAGTCTACGTAGCAATACATTACTACACCATAATGGAAGTGTGCATATAATTTTTCAATTTGGTTTATGGCGATTATTGTCCTTAGCACACTGAAATCATTGTTGGACAACCATTAGAGTTGGGTCCAACTCTGTAGGGTGTTTTCAGTAGCTACCAAAGACAAGTGGTTCAGGTCGCGCAGAATCTGTAGATTCGTCAGAGTTAGAAAAATTAAGTGTTAGGCGTTCGCGTGCAATCTGAAGCTCCTGGGTTCGAATCTTGTGAGGTGCAGGAGTCGTAGGTACTCACTACTGATTAGTCCCATATCAGGACGAAACGGCCATCCAGTGCTTCCAGGTGTCTAATGATGATCTAACAATGATTGATTGGTGAATTCGGTGTGCGTACTGATAGCACGTAAAACAAAAATACTTGATTACAAGTACAATATGTGCTTGGATTGCTGTCATTTCCCTGGGTAACAGATAACAAGTTAGTTGAGTTTTTGTTTCGGTACTGGGTTTACTAAAGGCTTTCACTGTTCTCGACAACTTTCTTGGTCTCCGAAAAACAGAATTATATCGACTAATGTGAATCTCCGTGTAGGGTATCGGTTTATGAGTAGTCAGATGAAAAAGAGATAACTTTACACCCTTAAGAATCACACTATCCAATAGTCGACCAATCATTTGCAAATAACCCTGACTACATAGTATGTGCGGACTTCAACGGTGTGCGCAGCCGGGGAGCACTTTCCGCCCTTATACCCATAAAAACATATGAGGGCAAATCGGTCAGAATCAAGTCCCTTCAACACCTAATAATTCTCTCATCTCCACGACTAACCATTCCGACCGTCTGTCATCTCGCCCCACTGAAGCAAACGGTGTGAGTCCACGAAACGTTATTCCTGGTCTCCTGAAACCCACCCTCTGAACTACATAATGGAGCTTTTAATGTTCGAACCCTATGCCAAATAAGGCAACAGCCTCCATTAGCCTAGCACCCTGGAATCTGGTGCAATCGACGTATATTTTGTCTCCGAAACGCGCAAACACGATCCGAGTAAAACCATCCATTTGATTCCACATAGTGCAGATAGAGACACAACACGGTTTACGCTTCGTGTTTCAAGCAGCCCTGATTCTTCTCCCTTTGGCCTCGCGAGCATAGGTATTGTATTAAGTCGTAGGGCAGAACTAGCTCCCTTAGATTGGATTCCAACAGACAGTCGCTTTTGAGCTGTCCGACTAAACGGGACACTCCGTCAGTCAGATGCAACGTAGAACTTTGTACATAAGTACATCAGTTCATGTTGCCATACCACATCAGCACAGAGATGTAATTGTCAATTCAAATCCAATAGTAGAAGAGGTAGTAAGGGAATTAGAAGTAATCGGAGAGGTTAGGATTAGAAGATACTATTCAAGAAGTATGATTCGGTGAGAAAAGTTTAGAGAGTCGAAACTAGAGGGGTTGAAGAATCCAGAAGATTAGCATTTGAGAGAACACAAAGAATAAATGCACTGGCGCCATTGCGAACGATTTTGAGCCATGTCATTCAAGGTCTCTAACCATCGATTATTATCATCTCGCGGACCCCAACCAGGTAGTCGACAATTACCGACATGGCTCAGTCCACTAGTCAATGACTTCATGGATTTCTGCCATGTTTTGGTTTGGCCGCCCCTAGATTTCTTCCAACCTGTTTCTACACTACAAAACAAGGCTCGACGAGGCAGTCGGTGGTTGGGCATACGCAACACATGTCCCAACCACCTCAACTGGTGAAGTTTCAATACTTCATCGATTGATCTGCCATTCTTACCTTGCACCCGATTCCTAATAACAGCGTTGCTCACTCGGGTGTCCCACGATATACGAGCAATGCTTCGAAGACACCTATGGTCGAAAACCAGTAACCTACGAATATCTTCTACTCTCACTGGCCATGTTTCTCAGCCATAAAGTAAGACGGAGCGAACCACTGCGCAGTACACTCGTCCTTTAGTCAGCAAACGGATATCTCGCCTACGCCATAAGTGACGCAGGTTGGCAAAAGCCAATCGAGCCTTCTGTATCCGTGCTGAGATTTAGTCAGTCACCAGGCCATCGGCACTAATGAGACTCCCAAGATAAGTGAAGCGGTCTACACGTTCGACTACTTCACTCCCTATCACTAGTTCAGGTGCCGATGCAACCCAGTCTTGAAGCAACATTTTGCATT